TATATATATATATATATATATATATATATATATATATATATATATATAATACAATAAACATAATAACAAATAATATAGAGTTCATACCTTTAATTCAGATCTAGAACGTGTAATCATTATTATAATAAAAAAAAATAAACTAGTATAATTGGAAATTAAAATTAAAAAAATAAAATAAAAGAACTTAAATTATAAATTATTTTAAGTTATTATTTTTACTTGTTCAAAAGTATCATGCGTTACACTATTGCCAACTGTAAGTTACTAATTTTCTTTACGAGACTACGAATCTCAAAACTTGCTCTAAATTTTCCTGTGAGAAAAATATTTTCTTTTACCAATTTTGAGAAATTAATAATTTCGCATTGATAAAAATTATAAAATTATACTATTTGTTATTCATTTCTAATCAGGTGATGAAGTCGGGAAATGAAAAATGGCAAGAATTTTTTCGCTTTCATTCTTCGAGAAGATATTTTTAAATATTAAGACTTAAAATATTTTCAATTTAACATGCACCAGGAAGTAAGTAATTATTCTAATAAACTTTTCACAATGCGGGGTGTAAAGTATAAATAAATCTCATCGAACTTAAATTTCCCTCTAAGGAAACTAATAAGATTTATATACAGGGTGTTCCAGGATAGGTGGTATAACTGAGTAGGTGATTTCACGTGAAAAAGCAATCGAAAAGAAAAAATAAAATTTTTTTATTAAAGCCTTCGTTTTCGAGATCGAGTTTGAAAATTTGTCGAGCTACTACTAAGACAATCTTCAACGAAACATATTCAAAGTTTATTTTTTTGAGAATGACGCCTTGAACGAAGAAATTTGATTCCACATTTTTCATTTACAATTAGTTTCGCGCGTAGAATATCCACGAATTGATTGTCGCGTCCAGCACTGAATAGCTAATTTAAGTATACTTGAGAAATTTTCAAACTCGATTTTCTTGAAAACAAAGAGTTTAAAGAAAAAATTTAATTGTTTTTTTTTCATCTCCTACTCGTACCACCCATCTTGAGATACCCTGTATAGAATTGGTTAATCTATGTTTCTAAGATTTTGTATGGTAAATTTCCGCTTTATAAAATAAAATATTTTTAACATTGACGTAATTAGGACGTACGTTTCATTACAACGGGAATTTTCAACATATTAACAATAATAATAAAAATAAAGTATTTAATCATATTTCCTTTTCTTTTTCTTTTTTAATTATTTATCGTAGAAACTATTATAAAAGAAAGAGGAAAAAATGATTTGAAACTATATTATTACAATATTGTATAGCTACTTAGAAAAATTTTCAAAAATAACAAATATATATTTACATATGTATTTGAATCGTAATAACGTAAATTGCAAATTTTATACAAGTGAAGATTTCTGTAGATTTTAAAAGTGACTTATCGTTTGTTCAGTTGTTTTAAATTTCATCGTAACCGAAAAAAGTATCCAAGCATTATGTAAAAGATAATTATTGAAATAAATAAAAAAAAAAGAAATATTTCGATTCTCATGCGTTTATTTCAATTTTCTGTTTAATGTTTTCAAAAAATGAAGTAAAGATGATTTTAAAATAGAACTTGTAGTGTAATATGTATTGAAAGTCTGAAAATAATTATTAAGCAAGTTGCAAAACTAACAGTGATTGTAACAATAATAAATTAACGTTACTTAATATCGAACGTTGTTAATACATAAGATTATTGGTGTATTATTTATATAGTTTCGAAAGGAATTTCAGACTTTCCTATAATATTCACTGTATGTTATGAAAGTTTCGAGGTTAGAATGACATTGACAAATTTCAACAAGAAAGGAATATTAGTATAAATCTATTTTTGTATCACGCTTGATGTGTAAAAGAAGAATTTAGAGAATAAATATTTAACGAAATGGAAGATATTAAATTAAATGAAGATCCAACGCAAATATCACAATTATTTTTAACGCGTGTTTATTACGCTGCTAAGGATGGTATGGCTATTATCCTTTATAATCTCCTCAGTAGTAAGGATCCTAAGCTGGTGAATCTTGTTATTAATCAAAAAGTATTAGAAGAGGATGGCCAACATTGTACACCATTGATAATAGCTGCGAGATATGGTCGTGATAAAGTAGTTAAAATATTACTTGATAAGTTTAAGCCTGATTTGGAACAGGAAGGGACAGTTAAATTTGATGGATACGTTATTGAAAAGGCAACCGCTTTATGGTGTGCTGCTGGTGCAGGACATTTGACAGTTGTGAAGATATTAGTAAAAGCTGGTGCCAATGTCAATCATCCTACTAAAAGCTTGTCTACTCCCTTGAGAGCAGCTTGTTTTGATGGACGGTTAGATATAGTGAAATATTTGATAGAACATAATGCAGACATAAATATTTTAAATCAGTTTAATAATACATGCCTAATGATTGCTGCGTATAAAGGTCATTTAGATATAGTAAGTATAATATTATAGTTTTAATAACATGGAATTATGTATTTAATTTATAATGTCAGTTTCAGCAATTTTATTATATTTACAACAGGTGACCTTTCTTTTACAAAAAGGTGCGAATCCAAATGAGAAAGCAAATTGTGATACAACTGCATTACATTTAGCAGCTGAACGTGGGCATACTAATATAGTGTCTGAGCTATTGAAATATGGAACAAACATGACAAAAAATATTAGTGGGATGACACCATTAATAGCAGCAGCAGAAAGAACTAGAGCTGAAGTTGTAGAATATTTAATAAAATATGTAGAAGTTAGTAGAGAAGAAGCAATTGAAGCATATGAGCTTCTTGGGGCTTCTTACGCTAATGATGAACGCAATTACTGTTTAACCAAAGCTTATAAATATTTATGGAAAGCAATGAAGCACAGGTAAAAAGTATTTAATTTTAGAAAAATACAGTTTAGAAACAATTAAATTCTTGGATATTACAGATTCAGAGATTCAGATAATATTATTTATAAAAAATTAGGTAAAAGTATAAAAGCATATGACAATTGGGAAGAATGTGATAATCCAGAAAAACTGAAAAGTATTAGGAATGATCAAAATGCTATTCATATGGAATCATTAGCTATTCGGGAAAGGATATTAGGTTGTAATTGAACTTTAATAAATATTGAGAGTATTAGAATAATTCTCTTATTTTTTTTAAGTCTTATATATTTTAATTCTTTTTTAACATCAGGTCAACATAATCCAAAAGTGCCACACCATATTATATTCAGAGGAGCAGTTTTTGCAGATAGTGCTAGATTTGATAGATGTATAGATCTCTGGCTTCATGCTTTATATTTGAAACAATTAAACAATATATCAGTTGTAAAAGATCTTTTAAGGTTTGCACAGGTATTTTTTCTTTTTCACTAAATAGTCTTATCAAAAAATTCTGATAAATTTATTACATATATCTTTTTCTTTCTTTAATTTTATTTGTAGGTATTTTCACAAATGATACATGTAGGAGTAGCTCTTGATTTCTCTCAAGTTTTGAGTATTCTAGAAGCTTGTGTAACAGAACTTGGTCGTAATAAATCTAAACTTAATAATCCTGATTCTGAGGAAGATATCGAACAATATATTGTAAGTTGAAAAATTGATTTATGTGTTGAATTAAATATGAAATAATTTTTATAAATTAAAAATTATAGGAGGAAATAGAATCAAATATTACAACCACATTATATATATTGACAATTTTAACAAAACTTTTAACATTGAATGAAAGTAGATATGAAGAACAAGATAAAAATAAGGCATATCAATTAGTTCATAAACTATGTGCTCTACAATTACATCTAAAAGATGGTCAAACATTACTGCATCTTGCTGTAAATGCTGCCACTCTAGTAGATGATTTCCATACTAATCATGTTTGCAAGTAGGTTTATAAATATTGTTTCAAAGTACAATAGTGAAATCTAATATTCTTGCAAATTAATATTTTTGCATTAGACGATATTAATAAAGTATTATTAACAGTTTTTTTCTTATTATTTTAGTTTCAAAATGAAAAGAAATCTGAAATTTAGTTTTTGTTCTTTATGCAATATGTATAAATACAATATTGTGAACGTCTTACAGATTTCCTTGCGCTGCAACGGCTAAATTACTTATATGTTGTGGTGCTGATGTAAATGCAATGGACAATGAAAGGAATACACCATTGCACGTTATTGTTAGCTATAGAGAACCTATTAGGTACAGTTAATTGTACTGTTGTTATTTTATTAAGTAGTTTTTTTTTAATAAATAATATTCCTGTAATATATCTAAAATTTTACAGTGATTTTATGACTCTTCATTCCATTATCATGGATCTTATAGAAGCAGGGGCGCATATGGATACAGTTAATAGTAATGGGAAGACTCCGTACGATGCGGTCACTACAGGTCTGTTTAAATAACTTTGAAAAATAATATAAAATATTAAAAAATACGTTTTACATAGTTACAAGTTTATCGTATCTTTATACAGGTGTAGCAGAAATAATACTAAGGACTCAAACAAAATTGTCATTAAAATGTATGGCTGCAAAAGTCGTAAACGCTTACAATTTATCATATTGTGGAAATGTACCACGTTCTTTGGAAAGTTTCATTGAACTTCATGGACCAGGTTTTCATCAGAGTTAAAAAAAGTCATTATTAAACGCCATGATACATAGATAATTGTATTAAGTGTGTAATCAATTCAAATTTATTCTTCATGCTGTGAACTTTTTGAGAGAGTGTACAAAATATTTAAGATATAATAATGAGATTTTTTATGAATATAATACAGAAATAACTTTTGTATTGTGTAGATAACGAATTTTTATATATTATAAAAAAGCACATATATTTTTAATGGACAGAGTCAATGTTAACTAACGATTAATTTAATAACTTTCGAATAACAAGGAAACAATGTTACTTTTTGATCATTTGTAGCAAATTTAACAGAAAAGCAAAAAAATAGTAAGATCATTTATAACAAATGATGAAATTTTTCTATATTTTTTAAATCCTCATTATACTATTCGTATATTTTGACCATATTTGTCAATGATCTTCTATGTAATAGTATTATTAATTAATAACTGAAAAAAAACATTAATGAAATAGAAATAATACAATTTATCCATACAATATAACTAACTGGCTATTATATTAAAAATTGTAATTAAATGTATAATGATATGAATAAATAATATAATATTGATAAAATAAAGATATGATGTTTAAAAATACGTTTTATAAAATAATCATTAAATAATAGTAACAAAACAGAAGATTCTTTTACATATATATAAATAATACATGTAGAATTTAAGATTCAGAATCAAAATTCGATTGGGATTGGATGAGTTTTACCGAAAATTTCGGGATCTCGTTCGATCTCAAATCTTCAATTCATTCTGAAACTTGGATTTTCAAATGTCCCTTTAAACATTTCTGTTTTTACATTTCACATTTTGAAAGAACAAATTTTAATTTATTAATTTTATTTTCAATCACAAAATTATTATATAGCTTAAATACTTAATTACACAAATCTGTTATGGATATTTGTTTTATGCACATATAAATGTAGAACATGTAATATTATACAAATTGTTATATATATATATATATTTATTTATTTTTAAAGTATCATTAATATATAATCATCCAAATAATTGTCAAGAGATATAATCAAACCTTTATGACTAGATTTACATATTTAAATTTACAAATCTTTTTAAACTGTCTTACAATACTTACGTAAAAAAAGTGCTGTTTTCAATTTTTGTACAATAAAAATACAAATTAACAGATATAAAATTATATCAATCATTTCCATTTTAGTCTGATAAAAAAAAAAAATTAATCTATCAAAACATGCAAATATCTTTGATTGTAAAGCTCTGTTGTCAATACACCTAGAATGGCTGTTGCATTATGCAAAGAATTAGCAGGATCCCTAATTAATTTAATAGATCGTTCTATATCTCCTTTAAGCGTTGCATATTGTTTATTTAATAAAAGTCCTTCTAAAGCCTGCATAGCTTTAATAGCTTCTGCACTAGGTCGAATTTCCATTGTATCTGGTTCATTTGTTTTTGATAATGCTACGCCAGGTGAATGAGGTGTAAATCTTACTATCTGTTGTTCCGATTTTGATTCAGGTAATTGAGCTAAACAATAAACTCCTATCACACGGCTTAAAAATTTGCATCTATATAAATATAAAAAAAATTTTAAGTTAGATAAAATAAATTACATACTATGTGTTATTTAATTTACCTTATTGAAAGATTGGAATTTTTCTTAAGGCCAATAGCTCCTAGTATACCCCATCCCTGTCCCCCATCATCAGCAATTGTTAATAACGAACGAGCTAAACCTTTAAGAGCTCTAGCAGCAGTCCTAGTGTTTTCATTATACTGACATTGTCTATATGCTAATTCACAAATTTTAGCCCAAAGAAGAGGTAATTTTTCTTCATTTATATTCCTAAATAAAAATATTTACTAACTAAATCTAATTACACAGTAATGTACAATTTTTAATAATTTACACTTACGTTGGTCTAATAGCAGAGATCCAGTCAACTAAATTTATAAGAAGTACTCCTTCTTCCCTAATATCTTGACATAATGGAAGTCTCTTTAGTAAAATAAAATATAAAGCAAGAAGTTTTCCTTCAGAAATTAAAAATGATTCCAATGGTGGTTGTCGAGGTATTACTGATTGCAAAATTGTTAAGACTGAAGCCCAAGTTGGTGAAACCTCTTCAGATGCTGCTATATGAATTAAAATGTTACAAAATGTATAAGCGAGTATATTTGCATTTGTTTTACGTACAATTAAATTTAAAATATGCTTCTAATGCAGCCTCCATTAATTCTCCAAGTACACATGGTGAAGTAATTGTTCCAATGACTTTAATTATACTTAGAAGAATTGGATTACTAGCTGTTCTTTTCAAAAGCCACGATGTCCAACTAATGCGAAGATGTTCCATAAGAACTCCATGTTGATTCACAGCATAGAGTAATTCAGTAATTAATAAACTTGCTTCTGCAATTTGTTGAGATTCTGGAACAGCTAAAGATTTTTTGTTTTAATTATACTTCTTCAATAATTCTAGATATGTACAACTTAGATCATATAAATGTATTATATTTACTGTTTAAAATAATAGCTTCCATATCATCTAACATTTTTGACAATGTATTATTAAATACTTTTGGATTTGTAGTTAATAAAGGTTTATATCGAGTTGTACAAGTAATCAATAATTTTATTGTACAGCGTATATACAGTTGTCTCTTTTTTAATGTAGTTGGATGAAAATGACTTACAACAGAATCATAGCCTGCTGCTACCTTTAACAAACTATTACATCATATTTGTTAGAAAACATCTATAAATAAAATTAAGATAATAAAATAAAATTATTATACATACTTATGTACAGCAACATCTATAGAATGGCATTGCTCATTATGAGAATAGAGAACTACTCTTGAGTCACAGCTCATGACATGCCAATTAATTACGTGATCATAGGCAGATGCATCTAATAAATGCCAAGAAAATTTTTCAGCATCCATAATTAACTGAGTTACTTTATCGGTCTGAAATATAATATACTATTAATATGTTAATATATTTTTGAATTAATAATTAATATCAATTATTTTATTAAATATTTGAGAAGAAGATTATGAAGAATATAATGAATTACCTGTCTAACATTTGGTTCATTGGATAATTTTACCAATAAATTCAATAAACAAACATGTATCCTTGTTACAAGAGCTAATGGCTGTGATGCTAATAAGTCATTTATCCACAACGGCCAATGTACACACGTAAATACACTTCCAAGGAATAAGTGACTATCTGGCAAATATTGATCAATTACTTTTACCATTAATTCCACATCATTTACAGATGGATAAAAACGATCCCATGGTAATGAAAAAAAGTTGCCATGAATAACGTTTAGAATATGATCTTTAACTGAAGCATGTGCAAAATTGGTAACATAAAATTGCCAGACAAAACAAAGTATCTTGCTAGATGCTGGCAATGTATCGATAATAAAACGAACACATTCAATGAACATTGCTACAAGTTTATTAGCATATGGACCGTCTGTAATAATCCATGGTAATAAAACAGATCGATCATCTGTAAGTTGTTGAATCCATGCAGCAGTTGGTTCTTTTAAATTTCGTGTCCAATATGGTGCAATCCAAGGTGCATACATTTCACTTAAAATAGGCCATATTTTCTCACACACTTTAAATAATATAATATAATTATGTCTGTTATAAGTATCATGTATAATGTATGGTTGAAATACTTACATTGGTCTCCTAATGATCCTCTATCAGATTGGAGAGTAAGTGCAACAAGAGCATGACCCACCATGCCAAGAAATATACTTAAAGGTTCATTGTAAATTCTATATTTTGGATACAGTCCATAAAGACCATATTGTAAACGTTCTTGCATGAAATGTCTACTTAATAATACAGCTGTGTCGTATATCTGTAATTAGATACAAAATGTATAAGTTAATTTCAAATTTACATAAAAAATTCCAAATTAAAAACAAACATGAAATATTTTATGACCTCTTGTCGAGAAAGAAGCTTTTGTTCAGTAGCGTAATGACGAATCTCGTCTCTAATTTTAGAATGACTTGTAAATGCATTTTTTGATTTGCCACTGAGTGTCCCTAATAAATCTCGCCAAACATCTAGCGATAAATTTTGACTTTCACTACTTTTTAATACAACACCTAAAACTTCTCCATAATGTTCCGGAAATTCATGTAGTAATACAAATCGTAGATGATTCCTAAATAGCTACAAAAAATTTTTATCAACTGTAATATATTATAAAGATTGTTATATTGTAATCGAATATATATGTGAAATTTATCTAATACATAAATACCTCATGTAGCACCAGCTTTGTTTCATCTGGATTAATACCCATATTACAAAGAGCTCTAGATACCAAATCAATGAACGTTGATCGTTCGCTTAATCTTGGACGTTTATAATTTAACCAGACTTTTACATCAAACTAAAATAAAAATTAATGTAAGAATTATATAGATATGTAAAAATAAAAGAATAACAAGCAACGTACTTTTGATAATAATACAAAACAAAGATCGACTTTTGTACTCGTAGAAAATTCGACAACAGTTTCATACATTTGTAGGAATGTTGAAGCACTACCAGCAACAGGTGTAAAATAAGGTCCAAGTAAACCACCAAGATTTTGTTTCTGCATAATGGTACTTAATAATTGTGGACCTTGAGTTTCCTCCCCATTAATAAATGACTATTAAAATTAACACTATGTATTAATAATGTATTAAAATTATTTCTCTGAATTTTTACGCACCTGTCCTAATTTTTCTAAACAAGTAGTAAGAAGCTGTTTTGTTGGTGGACAAAATGATGCTTCTTCTGTGTAACAGTCTACAAGATAATAAAATAATTTTACTCCACTTTCTTGAATTTTATACAATGCTGTAGCGTTTTCATTTGTTCGATTTATAGCTATTTCGTATTCCAGCATTCTAAGAAGAAGAATAATATATTTATATATAATTCATATTATTATGTATGCAAGATGTAATATGTGTTATACATACGCAATTAAATGATCTATAAATACACATCCTTGAGTAACTTTACTAGATGGTGGCTGACTAGCTTTTATCAACAAATTTTCATATTCAGCTCTGTTTTGTGTTATCATATGATCAACAGCATCGCTAATGCGAGCTTCAGGTACCTAAATACATAAATAACATGAAATATATAAATACATAAATAACATGAAATTAAAAGAATACTATCATTATTACCTTAACTATAATTACTGCTGGACCAGCACAATGCACAGTGGGTGGTGTTCCTGATCTAGAGTATTTCTGATTTAGAGGTGCTGGATCACATAATGCATGCAACGTTACTTGATTCTCATTTTCTCTATAAAGGGTAGGCACTAGTTCCAGAAAACTAGAATCTACTGCAATGTGCTCAGAAACCATTAAATTATATGTCTGAGCATAGTCTAATATTATTTTAAGATATGGTTTAACGAGATCAATTACTGATTTAGAATTGTATATATTCTCTTTTGATACAGAATTAAAAACTGCTTGATTTCGATTTAAGGGTGGAGGTGATACAGGATATTCATATGTAGTTAATCTTTTAAATATTCTTTGCAATGGTCCAATAATTTCAGGAAAGGAGATTGATACGTTTTTTCCTTTTTGATAATAATTTTCTTGGCTTCTACAACATGTACGTTCCCATTCTTGAACTGCTATTATTTGATTTTGTTGAACTGCCCAATAATCAATATATTCTAACCATGGTGTCTATTAAAAAGAAAAAGAAAAAATATAATCAGTCATGTTCTATTATTTAATCTATATGCTGTATAATAAATAGATTAAAATTTACCCAATTATCCTGAACGAGTAATACTAATTTTTGTGACATGTATTGTGGCGGTAATGCTGGTAAATAAAGACCTGGTTCCTGTAATCTGGGTTCTTCAAGCCACAAACTTAAAGTCTTATAAAATCTGTAAAAACAGAGATTTGTAATGTTTTCTTCATAAATTGTACATTTAATATTACATACTTTGCTGCATTAAAATAAAATGCTCGTCTGTCATCAGTGATTGGCTTTCCATTATCTAAATCTTTTTCTCCTTTTAATTGAAAATATGTAGTAGTATCATGTAATCGTTTTTTTAATTTTTTTAAATAACTTAAATTAATCATGCCTTCAAAAAATTTTTCACCAATTCCGCCATGATCCACAATTCTAAAAAAATAGTTTTATTATCATTCTTATTTTTGTAAAACATGTTATATAAGTGTAAATTCTTCCTTTATAAAACGAACCCTGACATAGAAGGAACTCTTGCAAGAAATAAAGCAAAGAAGTTTTGCCATAAAAGAGGAAGAATAGGATGTCCTATAGGTGTATCTAGTGCTTGCTGTGACCAACGATATATAAATAATCCATTTGCTCCAAATGGTTGCATTTTTACAGTCGCACAAGCTCGCTAAAAAATATTATATATATATATATATATTACATTATACATAATTTTAAAAATTATGTGCAAAATTATGTACTATATAAAATACCTTAATAGCAGTATCTAATGATATTTTAGGTTGTATTGACAATTCCTTTAAAATTTCATGCCATAATTTAGTTTTAATTTCTCTGTTATATTGTTCAGTTAATAATATTTGATAAGCAACCCAAACAGATTGAGTAGATTTTCCTAAAAGACTAACTGAATTTGAGGAACCAGTTGCCCAATTTAAAAATGATCCAAATGATGTCATCACATTGCGATTAGACATAGTCTGAAAAATCATTAAATAAATTTTTATATTATAACTAAATTTTATATAAATATACAATGTAAATATTATAATATGTAAATATTATTTTTATATAAATAAAATTAGATTAGTTTTATAAAATGAATTGACATATATTTTAAATAAAAGGAAAAATCGCACCTCATTATTTTCCTCTATGGTAAGCTAGTAAAATGGACATACTTTCTCAGTAATATAAGTTACAGAAATATTATCTCAATTAATAAAGTTGAAATTTAAATAAGTTAAATATATTATAACAGCATATTTAATGAGTAAATTTAATGTAATTATTCCGTTAAATTATTTCTAGAGAATATTTTAACATAATTAAAAATCCAATAAAAAGTAAAAGTTGATCTTACAGAGAAAAGATTCTGAAACATGTGCTCCACTGTTAGTTTTGCATCTGCATGAAAAAATGCAGCACTGATGACTGTATCCATTAGATACATTACACTTTGGTCTTTATTCCAATCTGGTACAAGTACAAGTGTACTTAACCATAGATATACAAAATCTTTTGGTGTCTGTAATCCATATCTATAACAAATTATGTTATCTTATAAATAAAATATTATTGTCCAATATTAACATTGAATAAATTTACTTACTTTTTATAATTATATAAATGAGAATGTATCATATTTGAAAATTGTTTTAATATTGTTCCTGGGAAATCAGGTGTTATAAGACTTTTAGCCACTTTCATATAGGTTCTATCAGCCGCAATTAAAGAAATAACGAGACTAATAAATTTATCATTCTTAAGTAATGAATCAACACATTCCAAAAATAATGGTATTATATGATGCAAACATATAAGCACTTGTTCATATTTATAATGATATTGTAATATTTCCAATTGGGCGAAACCTTTTGAACATATTAACGGTATAGAATGACCCCATAACGTCATGATCGTTGCCACATAACAAGCAATAGGTTGCTTTTCTCTTGTACCAGTTACCAAAATTTCTAAACATGAATCAGAATCCATGTCTGGTACATGAGCAAATGCCGCAGTGGGGTTTGAAAGTACATAATGGCAATGTGCCTCATTTTGATCAAGTTGATGCAATCTAAATTTAGAAATCATATCCCATGCCCATAATGAAAAAATATGTTCAGCAGTTTGAGGTCTTATCATTGTTGAAACCTATAAATTTCAATATAACTTTGATTAAAATTGATTTTGTTAAATAAATATTGGTATAGAAACTTTATATTATACCTGTTTAACACCTTCTACCAATAAGGAGGTATTTTGGACAGAAGAATCAGGTACATATTTCATAGTGAGCTCGACAGTTAATAATGCTATGCGTCTATGTAAATCAATAGGAAGATATAAATTACCATTCCTGTAATAGGTATAGAAATTAAAATTAATTAAACTAAATTAAATTTATTATATATTAAATAAACTAATTATAATAAATTAAAATCTATGTTCTTACTCATTAAATCCCCAATTTAAGTTAGTAACAATTAAACGGGCTAAATGATTCTCGGTTGATGTTAATGGATACTGATCCAACCATGTAGAAAGAATAACTATATCTTTTTCATGTGGTACCCACTTATGTAATTTTAAGTCAGTGAATAGATATAAACTTAACTAAAATTATAAAATTAAATTTAGATATGTTTATTTGTAGAAAGTATAAGAAGTTTTTTATACCTTTCCAGCTGATACAAAATTATCTCGTAACTTTAGCAAAATATCTGATAACAACGAAGGATATTTATTTGTTATATTTGATAATAGAGATCGAGCATCTTTTGAACAAGAATCTTGTGTTTTTTCACTGAGAAATCCTATCTGTAAATTATTATTACATTTAAATGTTCAGAAATTATACATGGTATAGATAATAATACATACTTGAAATAGATCTATTGTTGTTGTTTTTACAAAATCATAATCTTTGTCAGCTCTTGCCAAAGCCATATTAGCAAAAGTGGTTAAAAGAAAATATGACTCGTCTCCTGGCATATTACTTAATTTCTCTTCAAATTTTGCACGAACTTGTGAAGAATTTAATTCATTTATCCAATCTTTAACATTAATAATATGATGTTATATTATATAATAATAATCAGTTTTAAAAACATTCATATTGTTTTTACTGCAGAACTGTAACATACCATGAATATATCTATTAGAAATGTGCATGTCTACTTGTGTACAATCAGTGTGTAAAATGTAATATATTTGCCACAAGTTATTGGATGATATTAAATGATATGGCATCGAAGCTAAGTATTGCCATGCTCCTAAACGACGTGAAGAAAATATGCATAAAATTGCTCTTAAAAAAAAACAATCAAATTCAAGTTGAAGTTTCATCAACACTGATGCATCAGTAATCTACAAAATAAAAATTTAGAAGTTATATAAAAAATAATTTCAGTTTTATATATTAAAATACGCTTTAATAAAATAATAACACTACCTGATCTTTATCAAAGTCCTCCCATTGGTCATTAGCATATTGTACAATATCTCTAATTAATGCACTTAATCGTTTGGTCAGTTGCCTATATCTTGGAGAATCATATGTTTTCAAACCTTGTTTTAAAAGTCTAATAACAGTTGCAAAAAACGCAAACATTCGAAACAAATGATGATGTGTAATGTAAGCTTTGTTTTGATGATAATCATCATTCTGATATTGAATACACAACACTTGTTCAAATACTTTACTAAAAGGAATTTGGTTTAGTAAAGAAATAAGGTCACTTTCAAATAGGTTTGCGCCAATATTAGCAATATCTTCATCTTCTTCTCCTTCTTCATCCAATATTACCCAAACTGTATCACCTGGACTATATGATGTATCTTGTAATGATTGTTGTACCTGAATCATTATCATGCATTAGATAATTATTATTAGCAATAATGTAAAAACTCATAATAAATTCCTATAATAAGTACCTGTTCAAGAAATTTATCTCTGTCTTTAACAGGTAATAGAATAACTGCCAATGTAGCTATTATATGATCTAAATATGGATCATTTATTGGAGATACGCCTAATTTACCAAGTTCCTGTGGTATAGGAGTTTGAACATAACTACGAGCCCAATTCATTACTCCACCAGGACATCTCAAGATATGATTCAATAAAAATAAATGATCTTGCCAAGTTGCTACTCTCAATAGAATTGCTACTAATCTTGTAAGCCATTCTCTAGTGTCTGTTACAAATTTTCCGTCTTTTAATAATTTTCTTTGAAAATTAAACAATATAGTAATGCACATCCTAATTTCCATTAATTGTGGAATTGTTTGTGAAGGAACATGCAGTGGTAGTAAATTCACAGATGCATTATGAGGAAGATTGATAAATTCTTTGCAAGATATGCAAACCCTTTGAATGTAATACTCAATTTGTAACTTTAACATTTCTGCTTCATAACAATATAGAGCTTGAGTGTTGTGTAATAAATCTTTTATTGTTGATAAATTTCGAGCTAATGCACCCAATGCTTGGTGATTAAACCGTGCAGTACAATATTCATGTGTAGCAACAACAGGATTTCCATCTTGACATTCTCCTGCTTCTCTAATACAGGCTTTATCTAAACACCATAATTGTTTTTGCATTTCTCTACAGGACTTTTTTAAAATTTCCAACTCATGAGAATTGATAATTAAATTATTTCTTACACGAAGATAATTCATTAAAAGTTCGTGCAATCTGTGTTGTTGTCTAATTGCACTACTTCTAAGTTGTATTTCTGTAAATTCTGAAATAAATATATCAACCAATGTTAATTCCTGATTAACATATAATGATGCTAATTGGCTCTCTGTAAAAGGTACAATTTCTTTAAAAGATGTATGCATATCATCTATTTGATTTATAATAGAATCTGACTGATTCTTTGTTTGCTTATCATTAGTAGAATTTTTTGAGTTTGATATATTTGAAGTAACTTGAATTGAATTTGGTGTTGTAGTTTGGTTATTAAGAGCATCAGATGGATTATCAACTAACTCCATTGTAGAAATTGATGTTGTTATTTTCTCCATGTTTCCCTCTAAATTATTACATGATGATGTCAAATCACTCCCAATTTTGCCATCAATTTCATCCTAAAATTTCGTTAAAAACACATTATGATTATATATGTACAAAAAAAAAAAGAATATATGAAAAATGTTATTAAAATACTTTGATATTTGAAGCTTGCAATGCTTCTGTTTCCTCTGTGATTGTTTGAATAGTTTGTTGTTCATAGAGTTCAGTATCAATTGCAGCAGAATGTAATTCACTTTCCATATTTTCAATACCTTCTCCCTTTGGATAATTTGTGGGAGATTCTTCGAGAAGACATTCAAACTCTTCCAACGTTGGAACATCTGGTATCTGTTGTTCTATAGAAAGTTTCTTCTCTTCTTTTTTTTTCTAAAATAACATATCTACATATAAAATCTAACCTTTAATTTTTGGTAAAATAATAAATCTTACAAAAAAAGTCCTATAGATGATATATTTAAACTAAGCATAAAACAACGTACAATATAAAGCTATTAGTAATAATCATAAGTATTCCAAGACCTAAATATAATGTGATTGCCATGTGTTAACATTAATTCGACAATGTAAATGTACAAAAAGTAAATATTCTCTTTACACGAAAAATCGCTGCGTCAGCAATAAAATAATAATTGATTATTATTGCATACATATAAATCATGTAAAAATGTTAGATAAAACAAAGAAAAACGTCAAAAGTAAATGTTCACCTGCCGTTGTTTTAATATTTCCATTTTACATATACATATACAAAAACAAATTTTGTGTAAATTTCCTTTATATATAAACGTCGAGCTTGTCGCACAACACAAACATATAAAATATGAAAAATATGAAAATGGTGTTTATCACACAATAACAAATTTCTACAGCACTACTCTGTATGTTGTCATCGTATATAGATACACTACGATTTTCACTGCTTCTTTCGTAACCTATCATTTGTCAAGGTGTGTTAGAACTTTAAAATTAATAGTTTCCATAATACGATCATTTGATATTAATTTCTCATTTAAGAAATTAATTAAGTAACTAAACAGTAATAAAATTTATATGGAAAATTTCTACGTAAGAACTATTACGACATAAAAGGTTTATAATTTTCAGCTTATCGACCGAGAGTTGCAAGCAAATAAAGTGCTGCCATGCAATGGTAAAACATGGAATTATATGGGGTAATATTAAGAAATCAAAATATATATTTTTATATAATTTTCAAATTTCTTTTCCTATACATTGCTGTGTTCGATTGTTGTTACTTTTATTTAGCATTGAACAAAATAGTTTCCTTTTAATTTCCAAGTATTTTCAAAATTTTTTGCTAATAATAAAAATAAAAATTAAAGGTCTTATATGTCTACTAAATGGGTAAAAAAGTTATCGGGTAAAATGGGTAAAATAATTATCTATGAAACAAGATATATCTCGTCTGTGTTATTGTATAATTATGAGTTATAAAGAATTGGAATTTACAAAACAACATACTTATTATTAACGCATTGATATCTCTTTATTATTAGCTTAATTTTCTTGACTTCTTTTTTTCTTTGATGATTCTAATTTTCTTGATGATTTTTTGATTTATCCTATTTACCTATAAAATAAAAATGAAAAATCAAAAAATTGTTTATTAATTATTGAGATCCAACTAAACTGCCCCTGAGAAATGGCAACCTCTTCTACAAAAAAGAATATAGGGCAACCTGCTTTAGAGGAGAAGGGGCATTGCGTTGATCCTTTAATCCCATTTTGCTATAAAATTTATTTTTTAAGATGATCAAATACGTATCTACAGTAATTAAATATGTATCTACAGTTTCATATAATTAGTAATCTCTGTAGAAGGTATGATATCAATTCATATTATATTATTTAACATGACATGTATACGTATAACTTACATATATATGTAACATCTCGATATACAGGTTATATTAAACAATAATCTTAAATGCATTTCTCATTTTGACATAAAATAACAATGAATTATTTAAAACTAACCTATACGAGTTTTTGTTCCTTCACAATTTATATTATCTAAAGTTTTTGTTTTATATGTTTTTGGTACTTAATAATATAATAATGATAGATTAGAATGTATTTTCAATATTTTAGATTTGGTTTTGAATATCTTTATTCTTATTTTTACAATTTTATAAAATCAAGTAGTAAAAAAACAATTTATAATAGAAATTAATTTATAATAAAAATTTTCTGTATAGGTGTGATATTATGAAAAGTCATTGTATTAAGTCCCTTTGGCGCAGAGGATAGCGCGTTGGACTTCTAATCCAAAGGTCGTGGGTTCGATCCCCACAAGGGATGATGATAATTTTTTTTATAACTTATACATTTTACAAAATTTATTTTCATTATAATATATATATCACACATTTATTTATAGACTGACATGTTATTTTTGCTAAATAAAACCTCTTACTATTTTATATATGAAGAAATGAATTGGTAACACAAATATGTATTATGAGAATCTTCAGAAATACAGATGAAAAATCAAATTGGAAAGCTGATTTCGACCATAATTCGAATTAGAGAACAACAGGTAATGGTAAAACATTTGAATGTTGATACTAATGAATATGTAACAATAAGTACAAGTTTTTCGAAGTACAAACCTCCCTTACTGATAAGACACGTCAATGGTACTTGCTTATGAGCAATGCTACATTAAGAATGAATTTATTAACGAGGAAGGAAATCACAGAAAATGCAGATATTTTCATTACCAATTTTGATTCGATATTTGAAGAATCTTTATGCGCATAAATTGACGTAGTATTATCCATAGTTTCAAGTGAGAATTAATAAAAACACGTTCACTAGATAGACAAAAAGAAAAATTCTACTTTATGTTGAATATTATTTTTGACTTTATTAGTTTCTATCTGTCAACTGTTAATATACTGTTTGAGAATTATAAATTTCGCATCTCTGTTCATTAGATTGTTTCCTAAAGTGGTTCAAGAGATGCAGCATGAAAAATGTGAAAGGTCTGGTGCTAGAAAATTTTCTCAAGGAGTATGAAGAAGTACGAAGCAGAATGTAACAGAAAGACATAGTTCTGTGTAAAAAAGTTAATAACAAACATGGTACGATATGTTTACGACCGAAACTTTGATTTGGGGAAGATTGATTCTGAAAATAGGTCAGTTATGTAAACAGTACATACATAAACAACGTTTTGCGTAATTAACGTAGACACAAACAATTCTTTGAAAGTATCTTCATTTATTTGTGTAGTGTTCAAAGGGAAATAAAATTCTTCACCCTATGATATAAAAATGAAAAAACGTGTAGTATAAAACGGTGAATCTGATGTTCGGCCGTACGATATCTGATGTTTGTTGATTTCAATTTTAATGCACCAAACGTTTTGTTAATAATTAACGTTTTATTAGATGCGACAACAGTTGGAGAGGAACATCAATAATATTATAAATAATTCGAATAAAATTCGAAAGCAAGGCGAAAAGGAAACAGTTTTTGGTAGACAATGCTAACCAGAACCACAAATAAACGACCTTGTCTATATTGCGATGGTAATCTGGATTGTTTTAGGTGCGTAAGAATTACCTATCGGAATAACTCGTCGGTGGAGTGGTATAATGGTAGTCCGATTTCGAACCAATCGGGGACGAGATGGAAATCAATGTAATTATAGAAGAACCAACGAGAATTCGTTGAAGACGCGCATGCGTATGTCCAGTTTAACATTGAGCTATCTCTAATTTCCTCTGCGTGATTTCTATTGTTAACATTATGATTATTGCAAATTCATGCGACGATTTTGCTTGATGAACATATAATTATGTTTGAGTTAATAAACGTATTTATTACCATTTTATCGGGATATTAGCTCGTTCATACATATTTGAGACTGAAACGTAATATTTCACGGCTTAATTGAGTAATAAAGATCAAAAGTGTTTATATTTATGCATTATATCCTTATTTGTTATTTATTTCATGTTTTTATATCTCGTTGTAGTTGCATTTTAATGTAAGCAGAGGGTACAACAGTGGGCTGCTGAGCCTTCATTGCCGAGCTCGAAAACGAAAAATTTTAGGCACTTTTATTTCTTTAATAATGAAAGTTATTTCCTTTTTGTCAAATAATTCATAATAATTCATTCGGAACACATTTTCTAGCTGGGTCGCATGAATTTATGTTTAAAGTACACCGACAATCTTCAACACATCTATTATACCTACATTATACAAATTATTATTTAAATTAAAGAAATTATGTTACAGTTTGTTAGAATATTATATGTACACGAAGAAATGGCAATGGAATTTCAGTGGCAAATATATGAAAAATTATTCTTTCAAATTTTAAGTTTCACACAGCGTGGTAGGAAGAATAGCAATAAGAAATGAACCACTGATATGTGATTTAAGGAAAGAATACCAACAAAAAATGAAGCAATGATACGTAATGATAAGAAGCCGGAGATCTCCCCCGAGGGTTGAAATCTTCGACTGATGGATGAGAAAAGAATTCCCAGTGTAGATTGTTCAATGTGCGGTTGACCGTAAATGCACCAGATACGAACTGCGAGATTAATATTCATATCCTTCACAAATCATTCATATTTATAATAGGAAAGCCTATTCGCTGAAATTTTATTCTAATACTGAATGACTAATATATAATATATAATATAAAAGACAGAAAAGATAATAGATCTCAAATATTCATATATTCATATAAATCAAATGCAAAATCGTTTTAATAGCGTTCTTTCAGATTCACCTCAACTATAGAAATAGAATATCTAATAAATTGGAAGCCATTCTCTGCGATATTTTTTTGCGAAATTAAACTACGAAGTGCTGTCATTCAAGAGAACGATCATCCACGTCCAAATTTAAATGAAAGTACCAGCTAAATTCAAAACCAAAGTATTCAGCTAAAATATGAAACGTAAAGAAAGGAACGTTTGTCAAGCGTTTTGTTTAATCTTCTTGAAAGTAACATCTATACTTCTACTAAAATGAAATCATCGAAATTTAAGATATTACTGATCTCAAGCTAAAACTATTTACCGCTCAATCGCGTGCTCGCTAGCGCGTATTTAAATTTCACGGTGCAATTAGAAATAATAAAGTCGGTTTCTCTCCGAGTGGACACAAACGTCTGCAGGTGCTCTTTCGCAAAGGGGCGTTACAACGATGACAGCGAAATTATCTGAAACCGAAGGAATGGGGGGTGGTACACCACGCATAGTGGGGAACATCCATGGGGTAGGGAGTACGAGCACCGAACATCCCTTCTCTCTATTTTCATATTAACCATGAAGCGAGAGAATGGACGTTGCAAGCAAACGGACTCAGATACGTGTGCAACCTCGTACCGAGTCATACGGTGATCCTCTTCGAGGTATTTTACATGCGAGTGTTCTATCAAAAGTGTTCCAACTATTTTACTTGTTATGTGAATCCTATTTGTTTCGTACGTACATGTACTTGCGCGTGCGCGCAAACGTGCACTTTTTTTTAAGTTTTAGCACAATGTTACATATTTGTTTCACGTAACTTTCATACCGAACATCTGTGGAGAATAGATAGTAGATGTGCAAGTACGTGAATTTTACAAACTTACACGCTACGCCTAGGATAGGAAGATTTAAAGTGACGTCAATGAGGATGAAGAACTTCTACGGCTAATATTCACGAATTTTAATTTCGAGTTTTTTCCATTCTCCTACGACGAGTCGAATGAATTTTCGTGCAATGACAAATTTAACGTCAATCGACGAGTTAGTGGAACATAAGAATAAAGATGAATGATGATATAAAATGATAAGAATAAAGATGACGATATATATCAGGTTTAATACGTGCCGTTTGTAGTTCTTATGTTTTTAGTTTGAAAACTTGAACGCGTCGATAGAATTTGACTAAATGTCGACGAAAGCAGAAGGACCATCATCTCCACGACAGTTTTTTGCACGAATTTACGGACACCTCGAAGCTAAGAAGGCCGATGGTACCGATAATAATGACGAAGAAAAACCTAAACCGAAATCAAGCTTCGACTTTACTTCAAACATTCTTCTGTACAACAGACACACGTTAGATGCAGACAATTCGTGCAATTCCTCAACCGATGAAGTTATACAAGTAAGAAATACTTTTCTTACATACAGAAGCCTCTTTTACTTTACGTCGTTTCAATATTTTTAATAAAAACGTTAGACCCGTAGTTGCTTTCATTTTTCTATTCAAACGCTTTTCTTCAATATTAATGTCTTAGTTGTCATAGCCTTCGTTCGGAAATTCTAAGAAGTATAATTTGTTTATGATCTCAAGTTCTTTTAGAATCGTAGATCTTTGTAGAGTATAAATTAAAATTAATTTCATAGCATCGATCGTGAACTTCAACTGAGGATTCTTTACGAATCGAAAATATATATTTATCAATTTTAAGTATCACTGAAGAGCAATAAAAATCTGTGAAATTAGGTATATACATCCGAATTAATCAAACTTATGTTATGGAAATTTCCAAACTATATGTTATGACAAATTTAACATTCATGTTCATTATATTTTTATTATATAAAACTTGGAGACAAAAAACTGCATTAAATACGCCTTTAGACGAAATATTGATAAATATATAGTTTCATGTCTATATACTAGCAAATAAAATTCTCTCAAGATATTAAGATAAAGAGGCAACTTAGAATTTAATACTATAATCTCTCGCGCAGGTAATGAGCATAAAAGAAAGATCCTCGGAACGAGGCGAAAAACAGAATAGCAATGAAACCAACGAGAAAGAAAAGACCTCGAATTTTGTTAATTTAAGATTACCATTGTTTCACGAGCTCCATCAATCTGGGCCGGTTAATAATCCTGTATTCTTATCTCAAGTTACACACCCGTCTGCGCTTCCACCACATTTTCATAATTTGCCGTATTTTCCAACCTCGGAACACCATTTGCAAGGATTCTCAGCGTTCTGTAAGTAATATTTTGTTGCTTTCATTAAATATTAAAAATTATTATATTATTAACAATAGCAGCTCAAATTCAATTGAACAATTAATAATAATTCTAAACTGTTATCAACATCTATCTAAACGTAAAAGTTAAAACTTTCAACATCATGTGTCCTAACGTGAAAGAATTTTCGAATTCTTTTGTATTCCGACACATTTTCCGAACGATGATTACCTAAAAATTATTTCGTTACAATCACTATTCTAATTAATCTCCATAAATATCCTTATGGAGATTATAACATTCAAGATTACTATAGGAAGCATTTAAAATTTAAACATAACATACCGCGAAATCTTGTAGATTTGAAGAAAGGAAATAAATCGCATAAAAATCGCGTAGAAATGAGATCAATTGCATTCTAATCGATCGAGATGCTATAATATTAAAGAAATTTTCAAATTTTGTTCTCGAATTGTGTTTGTACATTTTTTTGTTGTTCGGTTATTTACTATAATATTTCTTAAAAGAGAAGACGAAATCAAATTGTAAAACCTTCGACTCGAAATTCTCAAATTAAATTGAAATAGCAGACGGCAGTATATTGACTATCATTCGCATAAATACACTGTGCGCCGGTAGTTATTATCATTGAAGATTTAATGAAGATTAACGAAATGCATTTGTTTCAATTTTTACACGTTCCTCGAAATCCTTAAAATACTCCGATAATTTGTCGGTAATATATATTTCAACATTTTATTCACTTCCTAAAGCTTTTCATTGATAAGTGTTATTACAGCAAACATGTACAATATAACACAATACAGGTATACGCACACGTTTGAATGGATTTATTCCGCTTCGCCACCTCGTACCGATGTTGTGATGAGATTACTGGACGCAGTTGGCCGCATTTCAATGTGAAATATACCTTGTTATATTTCTGCAAACCCAGTGTTATTCGCCTGCCCCTTAAGCCGTTGTCACGGCAAGGCTGCCGAGAATCACTAGCATGTTAAATGAAAACCAAAAAAAAGAAACTGAAATGAAATACACAAAATGAAGATTATAATCTGTGAAAATACTGAAATTAACGTACAAATTAAGAATAGGTTTTTCACATAAGTAGGTTGAATATTCTTTTTTCTTCTTTTTATAGGGAATAACAAGCTGCGTTAATTATACATGAAAAAAAGCTATACATTAAAAAAATATTATTTTAAAAGATTCCCTTGTTTGGATTGAATAGTAGCTAGGAAGAGGAGAAAAGAAGGACGACCACGGAGGCAGAGAACTACTTTCAGCGGAGAACAAACTTTGCGACTGGAAGTTGAATATCGTAGAGGAGAATATATTTCTCGAGGAAGGAGATTTGAACTAGCTACATCCCTACACCTTACGGAAACGCAGATAAAAATTTGGTTTCAAAATCGTCGTGCCAAAGATAAGAGGATAGAAAAAGCGCAGCTTGATCAATATTACCGGTAATTACTATATATATAGAATATTTAACTAGAAGTTCATTAAAAATATAAACGATGATTATAAAAATATAGATTAGAATATTATTTTTCCCAAGGTTTTCATTTCTCTGTTATTTATTTTATAGTTTATTTTCTTCGTTCATCAAAATACATGTGCCTCCGTTAGTTTAGTGCCTCATAGATCTTCGACTACGAGTATTATTTAATGTTGCACGCTTAATTTTGTGAGTAACTGTATGTATGTATTTGATAGGCATCGCGAATCTTGTAAAATTCATTATTTTTAATGCTTTTACATAATGACTATGATGCGAAACATAGATATATCATTTGCGCTTACAGACTCGGCTGCTCAACTAAAATTCGCTCAGTTTCGAACACCGAATGAAACTTGGAAAGTAAGTATTAGCTTTTACTAAAAACTAATATGCAAAATATTAAAAAGACATGTATTTCACGGCACGTTTTCCTAACATTTTTGAAATTTATTCATTTCATTAGCTGGCTTTGTTTATAAATGTCTGAACTTCATAGTTCCCTCCCTCAATAAATTGTGCTAATAGCGTTATATATTTCTCTTTTTCGTTGTTGCATGCGACTCCAGGGAGACGTTTTTGAACGTCAATTTTAAATAAATGTTCAAAGAAAGAACGAGCTTTTGATGTTGTGTGCCTGATACTAGTCTGGATTATTTGCGCCATATTTTCGCTTCTTATATTCCACAGGTGGGTAATACATTTTTTTAAAATAATCTTCTATTCTAATTTTAGCTTTTAATTATTTCGTTTCACATTTAATATATTGCAATGAAATGATACATTGCCCACGACATGCGATATAATCCTAAGCAAGGGGATACTTATCGTGCTGGAAATCATCCCGCTTTCTTTTGAAATACAATTCGATTCACATCTTCTTTCTCCCCTAATACCTTGCTCTCTGCTATTGAAATTCTTAGTATTATTTCGTATTACGTCTAATTCGATTACAGATACATTTAGTGAACTCGTAATATATAAGTATATTTGATATCAATGGATTTTCTACATCACTCAAATCGCTTTAATTTTGATCGTATAGACTTTTCTACATAAATTATTATTACCATCTCGAGGAACATAAAGTGCAAATGTTAGTCTCAATATATATTTCTCGTCCATCCATTAATATTTTTAAAACATTGTCTTATATTTTCAAATTTATCATTAAAAATTAACTAATTTGTGATAGGTTCTTCATTTATGCACCTATTATATTATCAAGCAAAGGTGAAATTTCTAGAATGGCTATTCTTTAGAAATTGATGTACGTCTTATATGCAATGTTTAATTTCTGTTTCCATATTATACTTAAGTTATTTGTGACTGTGTATGCAAGATAAACGATCAAACATATGTACATACGTAGCATATCTCAGCATGGGAGGGTTGCCGGATGTCAGGGGTAATTTAGTTGATTTTTGTGTGTTATAAAATTCTGTAATAAATAAAGCATCAAATAATTTTTTGATTCTGGTCTTATTTTAACTATGTTGAATATTGAAATATAATTATATATATCTTAGTAATATTAATATAACGATATTATAAATAATTATTTTGAATATATTACATGTTACAGGAACTTAGCAATTTCCAGTAGAATGATAAATTTACCAATTTATGGTAGAAATGGATTTTGTGAATTCTGCTTTTATAAAAAAACCTTTGGATCTGCAACTAACCATTCCTGTACTTTGATGAATCCTGTTACTGGAACTTTCACAAAATCACAATGTAATGAAAGTGAAGTGTCGGACAATACACCAAATGTTTTTTCTGTTTGAAATTTGAAAAAAGAAATTGTTTGCAAAAAGTATTCATTTACAAATTGTTAACAAATATGTACTCTGATAAAATTTATTATATTTGTTTTATAAATAATTTATGTTAAATAATTATAACAATTGGTGTATTTTGTGCAATTTTGGTATTGAATTTGTTACTTTAAATAAAAAACAATTGGAATCCAGTGTAAAAAGATTAATAAAAATACACATAATGAAGATTAAAAAAAAAATAAAAAATCCTAGTAATGTTAGAAGTAATTATAAAAATATAAATTAATATACAATAATAAAATATGTATTATATGAACGATTTAACAAATATTTATATTAAGCAATACATTAATTCAAATAATCTTTAAATGCGTTGAAATGCACATTAAAACACTAACTTTTTATATACTGGTGACATAGTATATTGCTATATATTCTTGAACTGTAATTTAAAATGTAATTGTAATTTGTAACAATAAATAATACTAATATAAACATTCTATTATTTTTTCATCCTTCATATCAAGCTCAAACACAGATTTTGGACAAACAAAAATTTGGTATATATTTAAAAAAAATCGTATAAGGGTAAAAGGGTATGAAGAAAAACAACGACATACTGAAAAGAAGATTTATTACATTTAAAGATACATACAATATTACATTGCTGAAAATTAATGTAAGTAATTAGTCCTTTGTAATAAATAACAATTAAATAACGTTATTCAATATTTTCTTATTGCATTAATAAACGCACTTGATGATAATCAAATTCTGTAAAAAATCTCATTAATTTTCCTTTTCTTGTTTCTTTTATTCCACTCTAAAAATTGAAAATTCATTATTTTTTATCATTTTACTTATTAGATGTTTCACAAGGAGATCATTAACTTCTTTAAAGTATATTTGACTACAAATGCTATATTAAAAACTGTGTACAATGATAAAATTTTTTATCTTCTGCATAGTTTTCTTTTTTATAGTCATTTAACTACATAACAATGCTTTAACATTCTGTAACTATCTTGAATATTCATTTTATTTTCTGCTGTAAATAATCTTTGAGAAACAAAAACAATAGTAGCAAAAAATCACATCTATTGATTTATTCGTTTGATTAAAAATTACTAATTTTAAATTAGTTAAAATCCTTAAATTTTATTCAATTCTTATAAGAATATATACCTTCGCAAAACTTATTCCTCATTAGATCATGATTTCTAAACTTATTAACGTTATTTTATAAAAAAAAATCTTTAAGAAATAAAATTGATTTTAAATTGCAAGATTTATAATATGACATGCTCACATACTGGATAACGCAGCACATAGCAGCATAAGTTTATGTTATGTGATATCGTATATTTATCTTCATCTTTTGAACTCTTGATATAATTCATATTGTAAAATTATGATAATTTTAAAAATAATAAATACTAGAATATTGTAATTGTATAATTTTGAACTTAAAAAAAGCAGTTGATTTTAACTTACCTCCTATGACGAGTGACAATGGTAGTTGCGACATGGAGCGCTCTGAGAGTACCAGCCCAAATGGTAAACCAGAAATTAATGAAAACGAAAGATAGCAGTTAATATACAAGAAGTAAAACAAAAATAATTTCTATCTTCTGCTTATACAATTCATATTTAAATTAAAATAGATCTTTGTAAATATTTGTACATTCTTAGTGTGTATTGATATAATTGAATATTGAAGTATAATTTTTCTATCCTTGATATTTTATACTGACTTTTATTATCATAAATAATATTTTTATATTAAAAAAATATTAAATTTCTAAATAAAAATTTGTTTTGCATATTAATATATACAGTAAATAACTTAAAAGGCTATGTGCATCTAGATAAAGTCAAACAGTTGATCTTTTAATATATTAAAAATTTGTTTAATATATAACTTGCATACAAACGAGATTTATATGTTCGAAATATAAATACTTGAAAATGTTTTAATTTAATTAATAATTATTCTGCAATAAAAGACCTAATCTTATCACAGAATTATAAACTTTTGGTATAATAATTTGAACACCATTTTCCAATATTTTGCAATACAATTTATACAATTACTAAACTCATATTTAAATTTTAACGTGACAGTAAATTTATGAAGCAATCTTCAAAATTAATATTTTTTTATAATCCAGATGCATTTAACCCTTTAATGAATAGATAAACGAAATAAAATAACATATTTTAATATAACGCATGTTTTTAAATTCATCCTCATTTGAAAAAAATAGAATCACAATAGTATTGCTATTGCTTTAGTAATTGTAAAATATAGTAGTATTTATAATATTTATTTCCATAAATTTTTATCATTCTCTCCCCACCATAAAGTTTTAATATATTGAAAAGAAAATTTATAGTTATACATATGCTTCATCTCATATGTATATATATGTAAAACATAATACATTAATTGATAAGATAAAGGAAAATTTGATAAATAATCTTTATTTTACTCTTTTCTTTTACGAAAAGAAATAATTATTAAATTAATAGCATAATCTAATAGAAATATTAATAAACATTAATATCATGCACAATCTGTCATTTAAAACCCCTATGTCTAAACAAATGAATCTAATATTCCTACCTGTAGTTGTACAACAGAAGCTAGCAAGAAGCCTAGCAAAGCCTAGCCTTGCTGTGTAGTTCAGAATCCCTTTGCTCTGCTACCTGCCCGTTTTTAGTCTCTTCTTTCATTTTCACTCTTCTAACTTTCGATACTAAATATTTGCTAGATGATAGAATCTAACTAATATTTTCAGGTACTGAAAATACAGTATGCCCAAAAGCATTTTGTACCTATGTAATTGCTTATTCCATTACTACCTAATAATCACATTTAACGATGTAAATCCATTATATAACAATAGTAAAAAAAAAAGGAAAAAAAAAAAAAAAAAAAAAAATACCGTGTCACTAAACCTCACAATAACAAACTTAATATCCAAAAAAAGATAACTGCGGATTAGATCAGAATGTATGTATTAATTCAAAATTAGATAAATAAATCAAAATTTATCTTGAAAATATGTAAAAATTTATTTATAATCAGTGTTGTGCAATCTGAATAAATACTAATATAAAATATAATATTATTAATGAAAAACAATTTAAACTTTTGATTATTCCTGTAGATTCATTTAAGCAACATAATTAATCTTTTTTATTTTCATTATCTTTTATATAATAAAATCGAATCTATTTTCGAAAATAATAATATCGATCACATTTTAATTGCAGATTATAAGAATATATTTATAAAACATGTTCATAGATACGATATAGACCATATTGCTTATAGAATTTTTAACGAATCAGTACTTCTTCAAAATTGCTTCTATTTGTCATAATAATAAAAAATAAAAAATATTTATACTTTTAGGATTAACTTATCAATTTGAATAAATAGAATTAAAACAGAAAGTATCATTTAAGTTGCACATTTATTATAATTTTGCACAACACTGATTAAAGATTGTATTTTTTGAAAATGGATTTAATTAAGAGGGATACAAAATAGAATTAAATTCCAAATTAAATCTCTCGTATCTATTAAGAATATTTCTATTTATTGCTATTTGTGATATAATGTAACATGAAACACATAATACTAATAAACATATATATAATAAAAACAAATTTAAAACAATTTAAATTTTCATTAAGAATTTCATAAATTTTCTTTAATACGTTATTATTACATAAAAGTATTTATATGACAATTTTTGATAGACTGATATTTTTAGCACACATAATTTATGATGAAAATTTATATATAAAATATAAAATTGAACGTATCCCTTCATTCATAAATCCATGTATGTTATATATTATAAAAATTACACAAAATTAGTCACAGATTGTTTATATATACAAATTGTTTAATACTGTGAATACATATGAATATAAAGCCCTTAGGTTGTGCTTCCACTGACTACACAGTTGACAGAAAATACAAGAATGCTTTCTATATATAATATTTAAAATTTTTCATTAATATTTGTATGTAATAACCAAATGTATCTGTAATAATGACCAAATAGAGAGAACTGCCCTTATCTGTAACTATACTTCCCTATCCCGATACATGTTCTTGTACTTTTGACTTATCCTATACTATGGACATTTTATTTTGTAAATTAAAAAGTAACGTGGAAGGTTCTAGTTATTTTTATTAACTAACTCTTAAAACATTACAACTTAAATAATTAATTAGTCTAAGTAACCTACGAAAATGCTAACCGATAATTGTAATGTACCTGGTTCTTTTGTAAATTCATTAATTTCATTTAATATTAACATTTTTTTTTCCATGCATTTATCTGAGATTTAATCCCTTTTATCCTGAGATGTTTAATCTATAAGAGTTTAATCTGTAAGAACCACCTTGTTTATAGTGAAATAAATCATCAATATATCAAAACCTAGATTCTTACATGCACTGCTATTATCGATATATTTATTAAATTAGAGAAACAATCGTGCTCTCCAATGTCTAATATAAAATCCTAGGTCTATTAGTCATTTCTGAAGGTGTTACAGTAAATATAACAAAATATTACAAATATTTGGATGGCACGGATGTATCCCTAGCCATAGTAACTGAATAATCAAATTAATTCGTATCTTTTTCTCTAACATGACAATTACGTTAATAATCGTTTGTTTTTTTTGGATATTATATGTGCCACACAATGAGTTCAGGCACAATCTAGAAAATTGTGATGCAATATTTTCACATAAATAGTTGAATATATAAGATATATGCAATAGGTGCTAGATACCAAAAGAAATACAAGTAAAAGCCTCCCTCACTGTGATCTATTTAAGATGACGCTTCTCTGTCCTGTATCCTGATTGTCCTGCCTGGTCTTGTCTCTAGCCTTATAGCCCTGCCTGCTCCAATACTAAACAGTACAGAAGTACTGGCGACTAGAAGACAAGTAGTAGGTTCACCTGAGGTTCAAAAGTCATAAATCTATTAGTTAAGATGATTGAATATACTCAAATTGTAAGAATCTATGAATTTTGAGCTAAAAATCAAATGTCGTGTAATTATTTACTATCATTTTAAGAGTATTTCCTTAAATTTCTTGTTATGTTATATGACCGACACATAGTATTATGCAACATATTTTTTATATTAAATAATTAGAAGAATATTATTCAAATAAGAATCAACAAATAATATTTTGTTTTGCTACTAAACATCAAAATTGTTGCACAAAAAATAATCAATTAATAATTTTGTAACAAATTTTTATATTTTATTAATACAAAATTCTACAACCAATTAAATCATATATAAAATGTATAAAAGATTTTACTTCAATATCTGAATACTTAATACTAAAGCTGTTTTTTAATACTTGAATGAATTTAGACAAGCAATATATTCATTACATTTATTTATGATTCCTTTTTTTAAATAAACGATGTTGTTCTTACATACAGTATTGCTTGCCACAATTCAACACTACCTACTATTATTCGGACGATTTTGTGGACAATACTATAATCATTATTAATTATATACCACTTGATACTATAAAAGTAAAATATTTTTGAAAATTTTTTCCCAATTTTATTAAAGTAAATGTATTCAGACATTTTGTACTGTATTCTTATATTTATGCTAAAAACATTATTTTTAACTTCATTTTATCAAAATTATAATATATATGAATGTCTCAAAATATTCATTACTCAAAATGTACAAAATGTTGCACAAAAACGACATTTTTTTAAGATTATCGATATTTATTGCATATAGCACTGTTATATAAAACAGTTATATTAACTATAAATAAGATACGAAATCTCTATTAACAGCTAAATATAACCACAGCTAATAATTACGATCATAGAAAAATCGCTTGTAATTACATAGCTACAATCACCTTTGAAGAAAAAGTATATGATATAATAGATGACTAATGAATGAAGTACTAATTTGTTATTATTTGTCAATATTTGATAATTTCCTACTAAATAAAAGTGCTTTAATGAATTATTTAAAATCAAGAATAAATAATAAATTAATGTAATTATGCATTAATACGATATTAATTTCAAACAATGAATTATGTAATATACTATTCCTAAAATGTGTTTCTCAAATAATAGTTCTTGATATCTCATACATTCTATTTACCCATTAAAATAAATTGAACGTAAAACAAAATATAATTAAACAAGTTATATTTCTTAGTTCTCTTACAATAACTTCAAAACATTAAATGAATACTTTTATTAATGGCATTTAAGCTGAAGAAGTAATCGAAATATATATGAAATAATATTTCGATATTGATCGAAATATATATGAAAACAGAATTTTATATTATAGTTAAACATTATTACTTTATATAATACATGCGGTTTCTAATATTTATTTTATATATAAATTAATATTTATATAGTAAAGTTTACCCAAGAATATTTATATATTTATCTCAATACATTTTAAAAACATTGTCTAATGCAATTTTAGCACTGCATAACTATAATATCAATTAAATATAAATCTATATAGCAACCTCTATAATTTATGAAACACCAAGAATAAGATTTTATTATGAATTGATATATAATTATACATAAATAAATCAAATATTAATAATTCTGCTCTATAACTATTGCCAGTACAAATTTTCTATTTATTTGATAATATTGCAATAAGTACAAATATTTGTACTTAGAAATTTGTAAATTATGAATATAGCTATATTTTAATAAAAATAATACCACTATTTTTATAACCACAATATATACAAAAATTTTTAAGTTGAGTCATGAAGTACACGAGTCATTGTGTACTTCATAATAAAATAAAAATAATTGTATCAGAGAACTGATACAAATATTCGTTAATACCTATTTAATTATAATTTTACTTAATGAAAACATCCTGATTGTAATTGATAGAGCTCAATGAAACTCTAAAATTATTTAATGTATTTATTAAAAAAATTAATTAAATTTCGCATTATATTTTATTACTTATTTATAAAAATAAGGTTTATTTCAGAACAATAATATCATTTAAATGTAAATTAAACACAGTCATCACTTTAATATATCCTTAAAAAAGAGAAATATTATAATAAAATTTTGCTTACCACGTGAGGGAAGTAACCATGGATAATGTATTTAGTATCTTCTTCCTCCACCACCACCTCCACCTCCCATATTTCCACCTCCAAGAGAACTACCGCCATAGCCACCTTGGTTACCATAACCACCACCACCACCACCACCTCCAGAATTTCCACCACCCATAGGACCTGAAAAATAAATTGCCAAGGGTTAGTAAAACCGTTTAAAATTAGGTAAGATTCTATAAAATATCACTTATTTTATAAGAATATAATCATTCTAATCTTACTATCCTAACAACAGTGAGAGATGAAGCGTTTTCAGTAAAATTAGACTAATTTACTGTACATACAAAATATGATTAAATAATATTAAAATAAATAAGCATTTCTCAATCTAACATTTGCACTTATTTAACTAAAAAAAAGACTATAGAAATGATAATATGATATTCAATATTTGTAAAAATAATTACTTCTACAATAAGATACCTTCATAAAATAATAATTTAGCATATGAGCAAACTGAATTCGAATAGAGTAAAGGAAATGGACAAAGGCGCTCCTTCTCACTGCAACATCGCGCCTTATGCCTTAGCAGAACTTATATCAAAAATATATTTATCCAGTTTGTTTGTCCACTTGTTTGTAATTATTAGATTAACTATCGAATTAATCTTACCACGCTATGTGATTATTTACTTGGTATCTATCAAATTACATTGATAGATGATTGATAGGTGAACTTTACAACAGAATCACACGAGTGTTGCATATCAACTTCAATGATACTTCGTATGCAAATAGGAAACAAAAAATATTTAATAAACATTAATCTATTAATGTACACCTTCAATAATTTGCAAAATATTATACATGTATTAATACATGATGTGGTTTTATTTTTCATTCAAAATGATTTACTAGTAAGAAACTTAAACATATTTTGAAACCTATATGTACATACTTACCATTTATAAGTTTATCAATGTCAGAAGTCCTATATAAACATACTCTATGATCCTATTTGTGAATATTACATTATTTTTATAGAAAAATTTAAATTTTAATATTATTAAAGTAATTTGCTATTTAGTAAATAAAATATTGAAAGTTCACAGTAACAACCAAATATTTGTCAAATATTTTTTAATTTTTTGCTTACGAAGTTTAATTGAAATCGATATATCATATTTCGTGTGAATACTTAATTAGTAATATTATAAAATTGTACTAATTATAAGCTGAACGCTCCTTGTGCAACTTGTTATAGTTATCAACGATATAGTATATTACATATACTATAATATAATTAAAAATATGTCATTACAAGTAATCAATGCAAATCTACGGATAGTTGCTCAAGGCTCGTAACAAACGCGTTGGCTTTTGAGAAGGACAGAAGCAACCTTGTCCACCGAAGGGTGGTAGCCATCTCGAGTCTCCAGACTGTCGGCCACTAGGACCCATATTAATACCATAGGGTGCAGGTCTTCCTCCCGAGTTGAAATTATTCCGTACTGGACCACCGCCATAGCCTTGCTGGTAACCTCCTCCAAAGTTATCGTTGCTCCAATTTCCGCCACTATTATATCCACCTTGACCTCCTTGACCTCCCCAGCCACCTCCTTAAAGATACCATTTATTAATATTTTGTACAAATATAGCATAATACATTATTAATCAATATATTGATGTAATACTTAGTAAAATGGGAAAAGTATATCTTTCTGCGAACCTTTACCTTGATTCTGATTCTCCCAAGGGCCGTTACCACCCCAACCTCCTTGATTACCTCCACCATAACCACCCTGATTACCACCATTATTCCAATCTCCACCACCTCCACTTCCACGACCTCCCCAATTACCACCGCCCTGATTGCCACCGCGAGGTCCTCTTCCTACATTTTGTCCTCCTCTGCTCCCACCGCCGCCACTACCACCACCGCCTCCTGATGCAGAAGCCATCTCAGCCTTACTTAAAGCCTATTGACATAAGAAAATAATAAAACTTAAAACACATCTTTAAGTTTACATAAATAATGTATTAATATTGCTCTTACTTTTTTAACATCTACATGCTTCCCACGTATTTGATGATTGCGTTGTAAACAAATTTTATCTACAGGATCATAATCATCAAATTCAACGAAACCAAAACCACGTTTTTTGCCAGTTTCCTTATCTGTTACAATACTGATTGAATTTATGCTACCATAACTTTGGAAATATTGTCTAAGATCTTCTTCTTCGTGATCATCTTTTAAACCACCTACAAATAATTTTTTCACTGTTGCACCGGCTTCTGGCCTACCAATTTCTTGTCTAGGAACAGCTCTTTTAGGTTCAACTACACGTCCATCTACTTTATGTGGTCTATAATTGGAAATAATAAAAGAAAAAAATATTAATTTATGTATTATCATGCATTTCATTTCATTTATTTACTATTACTATATATTAATTTAATTTTAATATTGTAAAAACTATATATATTGAAATACCTTGCATTTTGAGCATCATCTACCATATGTGCACGAGAATAGGTGATGAATCCAAATCCTCTAGATCGTTTTGTTTTTGGATCTTTCATTACAACTACATCTACAATTTCTCCCCATTTTTCAAAATGTTTCTTTAAAGAATCATCTGTAGTTCTATAATCTAATCCACCAATAAATAATTTCCTAACATGTTCAGGTTCGTTTTTTCCATCCTAAAATATGAAAACATCGCTAGAATTACAAAAATAAATAAAATGCTATGGATGTTATAATTACTATTATATTTATTAATACAATTTTCAAAATTATTTGAAGTTACTTGAAAGTATTGCAATGAAAAAGTTAACCTCAATATTCATATAACATTTAATTAAACAATAATTATCAAAAGACTAAATCTAATTAGAATATTAATCCTTTGATTGTTGTAAGATATGAAAAACATTTTTGACAAATTCTATTGATTTATATAACATAAATAATGATATATATTACAAATAATATATAAATTGTAAAATAATTTATAATAATGTAACAGGTTAATAATATATAGTATTAATAAACTTTAAACATTACGTTAATTTCGTAAAAGAGAAAAAACATAATTGTATACGTTATAAGATAAAGATCAGTAATCTTAAATGGCGTAGCGTCGGGGTACATTGTGCTATAAAAGAACGACAAAAATATCTACTTCTCGCTTATATCAAAACAACAAAGCGATAAATATTTAAGAACATTCTAATGTTTTAATATTTTCAAATTTTTTTATTACAATTATGTGAATTATTCGTGTTTATATTAAGAAATGATAATAATAAAAAAAATCTTCAATAAATCATAAAATGTGTTAAGCATATAATAAATTATATATAAAATAAACAACAAAAAGACTGTAGAAAAGCTTAATAATAAGTAACAGTATCGCGCATTTTATAACATACATATAAAGTGTACATGACAAAGTAACAAACGAGCTAAGATTAGGTACGAATTCGTGTCTTAATATACGTTATCCTTGCAAGTATATAAAAAATTTCCTAAATTAATAATTGATTTATAAACTTGTACTTACATCATGTTCCATCTTAACCATTTTTGATAATTTCAAAGGGTCAAATACCCTCCACTATGGATTGCACAAAGAATCCCTAAACTTGTGTACGAGAAATGGAGATCACGCACGTCGACCAATCGATTATTATTCCTTTCAAATACTTGTGTGAACCCCAAATGCGCAAACTGCAATACAAATATTACAGGCATGCGCAGACTCGTATTATTTATTAATTTACTGTTTCTTTTATAATTTTTCAAAATATTAGGATTAAATATTATCTGAAAAAATTATATGCACTGATTTTCATATTTCTCAATATATACTAATTGTTTATGGCGAAAAAATTTATGAATCATCCTTGTATACGTTCTCTTGTACGAACAATAAATATCATGTGTTGACATATTGAATATTTTATGTTATATAATTATATTGGGTATATTAATAAATATAAATATCACATATTTTTGGTTAAAAATGTGTTCTTTTTTTTTATAAAGTGTAATTAAATATATAGCGTTTATATAGACAGCGCCGGAAATGTCAATCGTCGCTAAATCAAACTACATATAAATGGCGATCAAAAGAACAAATTTTACCGTGCATTGTATGGAAATAAACTGGAATTATATTATATAACAATTATTTTTATTGTTATTCTTATGTTTACATTTTAAGAATTATAGTATTTAAATAAAACTGACAGACGTCATATAATATAATATATAATATCCAAACGAATATGTATTTTTAAAAAATCGAAACAATAATTGATTTCATTATATTTTACTTTTATTTTTTATTTGATCTTCTGGCAGTGAAATATTTAATATCCAAAATTATTTCATACCAGCTCGTATATAATTTTCAATCACATCTTGCATATCACTGTACATTCATAATATTTGTATATTGTATATAATAATGTATATAAACTGTTATAAAATGATACAATATTTTACTCCAAAATGTGTTTGTTTTTGATATAATATAATTCTATTCACTTTCTTATATTGTTATTATCTTCAATTTTTTTTTTATATCTTTTTCTTATAAATTTGTCATTTCATATTGTATATAAACTCTGGTTAAATTTTCTAATTTGAATATTATTGATTAGAATTTGTGCGAGATGTTTGATTTGCAAGGCTAGAATATGATTAATCTGTACAATTCAAACAGTTTCTGAGAAAGTAATTATGACTCGATGCGTTTTGTGGATATAACTTTTCCTCAATACGTTTATTTATTACCACTGCTTCAGCGAGAGGTATTGGTTCTGTATATGTAAATGTCTTTCTTTTGGTATCAGACTTATCATCTAGATTTTTAATATTAATTGGTCCATTGATAACAGAAACTGCATTACTCACTTCATTGGTAGTTCTTATAACAGGTGTGATATTACCCATTGAATCTAATCTAGAACTGATTTGGTCACACGAACTTATACAAACTACTGATACTTTAGTTGGAGTTTTTAGTAATAAATTAGAAACAACTTTTTGTGTTTTCTTTGTCGTTTGCTTTTGTTTAGAATTTATCTGTCTATGTTTCATTAATTTCGTTTCAGAAACCGTATTCTGTACTTTATCATTATTAAATGATGGACTTTCTGGATGATGATGTCTAATATGCCTATGTAAATTATCTTTTCTCCTAAATACAGTTTCGCAGTATTTGCAAGAAAATGGTTTTTCATCTGAAATAAAATTTACATATCATATTAATATAGTATCATATAATATTTTGTCTACTATATACACATAACATACCTGAATGAACTGTCAAATGACGCCTTAATTCACTTTTGGATAAAAATACTCTACTACAATGTGCACATGAAAATGGCCTATCCTTTCCATGTGTCTTTTTATGACGAATTAATAAAGATTTATCTTTAAAGCTCTTATTGCATTGGTCACATACATATGGTCTTTCATCTATTAATAAAATAAAGTTGATAAATTTAAGATAGTTTTAAAGTTATTTAATATTTTTTTAATAATATTTCGTACGACTACTTACTAGTATGCGTTTTTAGATGGCGTTTTAAATTAGTTAACATTTTAAAAGTCTTTTCACATGCTGTGCACGAATATGTGGTTGTTTCATTATGCATATCTAAGTGATTTTTTAAGTCATCTTGTTTGGAATATCTTTTGTCACATTTAGGACATGTAAATTGTTTTTCTCCTAAAATTAAGTTATTTACAATAAATTTTAGTATATCTGAATAATATAAAAGATATTTATGTTATAAAAGATAATACCATGTGAGTACATGTGTCTATTAAGCTTATTTTGCTGAGGAAATGCTTTGTCACAAAGATTACATTTATATGGCTTGTATCCTCTGTGAATTCTTTCATGGTATTCAAAATGAGACCTTTTGATGAAACTTCTGTCGCAAAAAGAACATTGATATGGTTTAACACCTGTTATACAAGCATCGTGATAACATTTTCCTTTCTTATTTCGAAAAATTTTGCTGCATATATTGCATTTATATTTCTCTGGTGTTCCTGGTATCACAATAATGTGATTACGATCATGACATTTTATTGGCTTATTTTTTAGCTTGTCTTTTGTTGGATACTCTGTTTTAATCTCCTATAAAAAAAACTTCAATATGAAATATGGCAATTTCAATGTTATGTATAAACCATAAGACTTACCCTATTGCAAATTTCTGATGTTTTATTGCTAGGTGATTTTACTACTACATTATTACTTAAACGTGGATATATATTTAAAAGTATATTATTAGATTCCACGTTTGAAATATATTTGTTTGACATATCGTCATTTTTAATTTCTGTTGTAGAAGATTTATGTTCCTTTGTTTCATTAAATACATCTTCAGAGTATAATTCATAGTTATTTATATAATCAACAGAAATTAATTCAATGTTATTTGTCTTAAGTTTAGAATCTTTATTAATAACTAATTCTAAAGGTAATATGTCATTACATGCATTACCTTTATCAGAAGCAGAAATATCATTTAGTATTTTTTTCTCAGGAGGGCAATCTAAATCAAAATATAAACAAATAAAACAAAACTACTATAATTATTAATATTAAATCTAAAAAGTTCTGGTAAAAAGTATATTATCTAAAAGTTTCCTACCATAATTCCCGATATTTTGTACACAATGCTCATTTATACAAATTTTGCAACCTTGTTCTTCATATATTAAACACATGCGACATTTAATGTGCCCACAATTATCTTTTACAAGTCTTGTACGTGATGTATTTGTTATTTGTCTACAACTCGGACATTCTTTGTTCATCATAAGTATTTTTAATTTCAAACAGAATATAATATTTTATTTATTGATAAATATAATCTTTTTAATTATATTAAATTTTAAACAAAATATTGTCTTTTATACATATATGTCTGCTTTCTATCGCGTTTCTTAAAATCTACACCGCGTACATGTACTAACATCTGATTCATATTGGTACATATAAAATTTTTATTCCAATCACATTTTGATAATATGATTTGTGGTTATACGTATATATATATATATAGTATAAACACATTTCATATAGATACACACATATTTATGTTTATCATATTTATGTATATTTCAATGCATTTTAAGGATAGGTTAAAATATAGATTCGCATTATAAAAAAAAACATACATAAAAAATTACATTTTATAAAAATAATAATTTTAAGAAATTGGTAATTTAATATTTTGAAACATGTAAGTTTCATCTAGTAATAATTTAATAACTAATAAGAAACAATGTTTATACATATTTGTTAACAAATATGTTAACAATGTGAATCTACCAGTGCTGCCTCAAATGGGAATGTACCTAACCTCACATTTAAGTCAATTTTTTAATTCAGTGATTCGACTCTGTTAAATTATATTTAGCATTAAAATAGAAAATTTCCTCATATTCATCAACAATAATTTACATTAAAGGCATGGGAGATAATCTACGACGAAAGGTAATGTTTGTCATTCAACTTTTTAACATTACTTAAGAAATTATGATCGAATCGTTCAATGATATTTTTAATTTATGTTTATAACTGGTGAGTTTTGTGTCGAATTTCGTCTAAAATAGTCTAAATACCATGTCAAATGATTTAGAAATATATACATATAAATATATCGTATCTACGGTCCGAGATTATTTGCATCTTCTTTAGGTATTACGCACATTTAAAAATCTTCATCGTACGCGAATGGCTACTTTTCAAGATGATGAACATGCATTACAAGGTAAGTATTTTAGTTATTCAATATTTGTTATTAGCTATTATTACATAGCCATTAAATATTCGTTGAATCCATAATGTCTTAATAAATATTATTCAGTTACAAGGAACAAGATAAATGAGGAGTACAGAAAATATAAAAATGTCACTAATTCAGCAGCTATTGAAGAGGTAAAATTTCACATTTGACATTTCAATTAAATACTAAATAAATATTGTTTTAGTTAAATAAATTTGCCGAAGAAGTGGAACATGAACTACGAACAACAGTAATTCAAGCGGTCGAAACACAACCCGGAACATACAGTAATATTCTAAAGATACAAATAATTTATAATTTTGTTATTGACTTAGTTTTATGTTTTAGCGTTACGTCTTACACCTGACAAATTGGTAGATAGTATACCTTACAAGGATGAGAAATGTGATACTAGTAATAAAAATGCAGATATAAATACGTCTATTTCAAAAGATAAACCAAAGTAATAATTGCAAATATAAAATATATTTCAATTTTGTAATTAATTTATTAAGTCTAGAATAAAAAGAGAATTTCACTTTATAAAGGAATATGTTTCTGTAATTAATTCAATGCTTTGAATCTTTTATGTAGCTTAAGGAGCAAAATTGCATTGAAATTTAGGAGATTCATGACGCGACGTCATGTGCAGCGATTATTATGAAAGATTCGTCAGAAAAATTACGAATTATTCTAGAAGAATAAAGTTTGATATTTTATTCCGTATTTATAGTACAATTGTATATTAATTATGGAGGGAAAACAATAACCAATTATAATTAATTACTGCAAAATATTTGCAACATTACATTTTTTTCTAATAATTGATCGTGTTTTATGTTATGATTTAATGATTTCTAAGGTTCTTTTTCGAATTGTCGAGATGTTTATAACTTTTAGTCCCCAGTTACTCCGCACCTTCGACCTTCATCCTGATAAATATACAAATAATTTTTTAATACAAATATTTTCAATTGAATATTACAAGCAATTAAAAAATTGCATTTATTACAAGATCTCTATCAAGATAATACTTACTTATATGGAATGTTATTCTTGAATGCGTTAGTAAGTTGACACTGTACCTTCTATATTTTTGTATCATACAGCAACTTATCCCGATATAAATGAGTTCTCGCACTTGTTAATTACAATTTGTTAAGAACAATACTTTCTCGATACAAAAGTATATAAAAAAAAAGAAAAAGAAATATGGGGACAGCACTCAGTACATGTACATCGTTTTTGGCGCGAACCTAATAGGGTATTTGTTTTGTGAAATGTGAGATTTAATTGATGTAACTAATTTGATACTAACACATGTTCAGGATGATTACGAATTTGGTCAATTAAATCTGCTGGTCTTATCTGCTCAGTGCAGATACGATGCACAGCAGTGAATAATGGGAATTTTTCTAATAAATTTTTGGCTTTCAACATTCCATGAACTTCATCAGCTGTAGCTGGACCTTGCAATTTTTGACCACCTAAAAGTTCTTCTTCCAGCTGTCTGATGCTCTAGCAAGAAAAAACATAACAATTAACTGTTCGTTATCAGGATGTTGTGAGAATAAATGCAATTCATACTTTGCCACTTTTAACGTATTGTTCGCAAACTCTGCGATTTCTTCCACCATAGCAGGTAGTTATCAAATCGGCTACACCGCAACTTTCAAAGAATGTTGAAAGTTTCGAGCCACTGTAAAATGTGTCTACGAACTTGACCATTTCCATTAATCCTAATCTGATTACCGCTGCCTTCGTGTTGTCACCAAGTCCTATACCATCCACAAAACCAGCGGCGCATGCCACAATATTCTGAAACGTGAAAATGTTAACTTAGATATGCTAAACAAAAGTATTAAGTACACATGAACGAGGAAAGAAACTGTTTCATTAATAATGTGTATACATTGCGTACCTTTAAGGCGCCACATACTTCAACTGCCTCGCAGTCTTCGACGACCACAACTCTGAAATTGGGAGTTTGTATAAGGTCCCTTAGCAATGGTGCCAAACGTTTGTCCCTACAACCTATAAATAATTAAAATGATTAACTGAACTGGCAATTTTTTAGATCGCGTAGATATCATTATGTACGAATTACCAATAGTCGTTTCACAGAACTTCTCCTCGGCAACTTCATTAGCTAAATTTGCTCCCATTAAAACGTAACATTGGATTTTCAAGTTCTTTTCAATGATTTTAGAGATTAGCTCAATATTCGTTCCGTCTCCTCGATCAAAACCCTCGATAGAAATTCATCATTTTTAATTATGTACGAGAATGACATCTTGCAGGATTTAACGAACAACAAATACCTTGATCAATGATACACCAACTGCGGTTGGTTTAATTTTATCGAGCAATGTTGCACACAATGTTCGTATGAATTGATGAGGTATTACGAAAATAAGAATATCTGCATCTTTTGCAGCTTCGACGATGTCTGGAACGGCAACCTAGAAATTGCATGTCAAATTAGTATATTTGTACACCCTTCTACGTTATATTTAAATGTAATGAGTAATTATTCATTTGGTCGACTAGAGAGACCTTGAGATTAAATAGTACACCGTAACTTGATACTTAAAAGTAATTCTTATCTCAAGCTTGATGTATCACTATTGATATCTAGGTCAACGGATTTCCCACTCTTACGCTAAAATTGGATAAATTTCTGATGAAATCTTTAAATTATTTGCTTAAAAAAACCACATAGCTCCCATAGTTGAAGCCACAAAAAATCCAAAAGAAAAGCAATTTTGCAACTGGCGATGACGAAGCGTGAACGATGTAACAAGATCAAAGCATTGCATGTTGAATTGCTTTTTGTTATTGGTCTTACGAAGTTTGGAAATGTAAAAAAAATGTAATTGAAAAGAAAAAGAAACGAAGCTTATCATTTGGTCAACTTTCACTATCTTTCATGTAATTCATTCTTTTCGAGAAAACAAATTCTCTCTGTTTTGGTTCAGCCATAAAAGATTGTTAGTTCTTTCCAAAGCATAACACTGATGATGATAAAGCTATAGGCATTGGTGTTAGAATGCAGGATTTCGCAATAATTAAGCTGATAGAAACAATGATTCAACCATGCATTAATTTAACTATCGATACGTTTATCTATTCATTGAAATGATTTGTTTATGATTTTTATAGTGATAGTTCTCTATAATGATGTAGATATCTTCTTTTCTATTTAAATTTATTTCCACGAGATGTTCGATATGATGTAAATAGTTGATAATAAAACGGCTGTTAGGATTGCAACAATCATTACATTTCAATATTCAGTGAATGTTTAATGGAAACACGTTTGCTCACGTGCGTACTGATTATTTATTGTTAGTCGAAAACAAAGTCGAGCTTTACGTGTATGCATAATTCTCACTAAACTTATTTTGTATAACGCAATAACAATTGTACAACCCGAAAACAATCATGTGAATTACATCATATTTCGATCTAATCAATCAATATCAAGACCGGACGAAATACTTAAGAGATGAACTTGATAACTGATAAAAACGTTGTTTACTGCTACTTGTTTTGAAAGTGTAAATAGATAGAATATTGTGCTGATGGCAAGAATTTAATACGATAAGTATTACTAATGATAGGCTTATAATTCGATTAAAAAATGCGCATCACACTTGTCAAATGTTGCACGTTATTTGAAGTCTACTTAACTATGGTTGGTTTATTTAATTTGATCTATTTAATACACGTACGTTTCTCAATGGCAGTAGATTCGATATCAATTGGTATAGAGGAAGTGAATACTTGTCGAACGAACAGTGTGAATAGTAATCGCGTTGAATGATAAAATAGATTCCAATATATCATTAATCTGATAAAATGTCTAATAATATCCATATCTATCTGTAATGTACATCTGTTATAATCCTAAAGTCAACATTCAATTTCCGGCAATCTCTTTCTAAGAACTGTTTAGTCAAGTATTATCCTTATTATTATCCTTATTAGGATCGTGTGTTTTATTTTTATTAGAAAATTTATACTCAAATAGAAGAAGAGAAACGAATTTCAGACATTCCTCGCAGATCTATGGACATTCATAGATAGTAGTCTATGAACAGAACGTTACGCAGTTGTGTAACACACCCGTTTAAAACGCAATAAGATAAAATGCAAACCTAACTTAAACCCACATACGAGTTTCCTATTTCAAATTGTAATGGATCCTAGTTTCCTTTCGTAGAAAATGAATTGCAGACCTTCTTTTTTGATATCTTCTTAGCAAAGTGTCGTTGCTACTTAGTTACATAAGCAACATTGGAACGTCAGATGGCAACAATAAGGGTGTTGAAAGTTAATTACAAATTCAAGATTATAAGAGTGGGTACATCCTTGCAGGAAGCGTGTTTACCATTTGTACACGTAGATAACACGTCAGTCACGCCAATTGTGACAAAGTAGGGGGAAGATCTTGTAAGCTTATATAGAGCTGTTAACGCGTAATTCGTACGTTGTATGTACGTGTGGCAATAAGGCACAAGTACCTTGAGGAGTGCTACGTCGCAAGGACAATTCTCCGCGAGAAAATCGTTGTTTGAAGTCGAGATCTTTCTAATATAATTTTACGAGATTAATCATGAGGATTAATTCAATTGTGCCGAACTTCGAAGTCGACAGTACCCAGGGGAAAATCAATTTCTACGACTGGCAAGGAGATTCGTAAGTTTGATTTAAATTTATCCTCCTTTTGATCTGGCGTACTATTTATTTGAACGATTCTGTATAATTAATTGGATGTTAAAAATTATACATGCATAGATTCGAATTTCTCGTTACAATTAGATATTCTAAGAAGTGCCCTTGACTAAATTACATTATAAATACACAAGTAGCGGAGCAACTAGATTTCTTAAAATTTTGCTTATAAACAATAACAACGGAGGTTCGTTATCTGTTGTAAAAGTTTTACGTTAGCAGTTGTACACTACTCTTCGTAGAATTTTAGTTAAAATATTACTTTCGATACATTGCATTCCAAGTTGTTACTTGAGCAATGCTTTTTTTTATGATTATGACGAAAATGCGGATTGCACGCGTTTTAAAATTTTTATGAGCATTGGTAAGGAAATAGAATCTGAAAAAGATTTGTTTTATCTGCTATATACAGTAAACTCGCGTATAACGCGAGTTCTTTAAATGCGAATTCCTATAAACGCGCCAAAGATATTGCGACTACTGTTTTCATATAACAATGATTCTTCGTACAACGCGCCAAATCATAAAATGGGGAATTACCTGCATTTAAGAATTTGAAAGGAACTTGTCTAGCTCCGCATTTACAACTGGAAATTATTGAAAATATTGAATCTGCAAGTGAAGCTGATTTAACATTTGAAAATTAGTTAATTCGACCGAAACGATTAATAATAATCAGGATTACAAAAGTATTTTATAATTTTTTAAAGTTCAATGAAACAAAAGATTTCTTGACGTGTATTAATGTTTTTTTCTTTTTAACTAACGTTTTAAAACAACTTAATACTGTCCTATTTGATTAAACATAGAGAATAAAAGTTGGCATAATGCAATGATTATTTCAAGCATGTTCCTTCAAATTATACGGGAAAAATTCTCGTACAGTATGATTTCCTATAACATTACCGCGTTATATGGGAGACTACTGTATTACAATACGCACTGCTTTGGATATTTTTGTATATAACATGCATTATGTAATATTTTTGCAACTCCCAATCCGCGTCATAATTATATACAGAGACGAAAGTTCATAATTTTAAAACTAAATGACAAAATTGTTATTACATATCAAGCTTTTATATCTTACTTGCCAATGAGTTTAGACAGTAAAGAAAAAAAAAAAAAAAAAGATGAATTTTAATGACTGACGTTGCAAAACAAGGGAAAAACATAATTATACATATTTACAGTTATGAATATTTATAGAATCTTTGTTTACCACTCATTTTCTACTTCCTAATCGCAGATGGGTCGTTTTATTTTCCCACCCTGCCGATTTCACGCCGGTTTGCACCACCGAATTGGGTCGTTTGGCAGTGCATCAGCCCCATTTTGAACGTCGAAACACGAAATTGTTAGCTCATTCAGTGGACAAATTACAGGATCATGTCGACTGGGTTAATGTAAGTTACAAAAATACTTTACGATATTTACTACGATAAGATCGTTAGACACAATGATCGTTCGGAAGAATATTTTCTATGCAGCAGCATCATTTTCAAGGATTATATATGCACACGCACGTGTGTACAGAATTTTCATTAGCAACACGTAGAGCAATATAACAATGTACAGAGTGTTCCACGTTTTCGTGACACATCATCGATACAAAATAAATAAGAAGAAAATTTTACAAAATTGTATGAGATCTTATATAATTTCATTCGGTTTCTCATTCGCAGGATATTAAATCTTATTGCCAAGACATTCCCGGAGCTTTTCCTTATCCAATTATTGCCGATCCGGATCGTTCTTTGGCAGTGAAGTTAGATATGATCGATGAAGATGGCAAGGATGATCCAGAACAAGCGTTAACTGTTCGCGCTTTGTACATTATAAGCCCCGATCATCGTTTACGTTTATCCATGCATTATCCAACGTCCACTGGACGCAATGTAGAGTAAGTTTTTTACAATGAATGTAGAATTTTGATTCTACATACAGTGCTTTTTTTTGTATTGTACAAATCTATTATATATAAATAATATAACTTGCACAGGATAAACGTATTAATGATATTTCTATGATCTCTAGCGAAATACTGAGAGTTATAGATTCCCTGCAACTTGTCGATAAGAAACCGGAAATAGCAACCCCTGCTAACTGGGTGGTAAGAGCAACTTTCATACATATATTAATTAATACATTGTTACTTGCACTTTGTAAATTTCAGGCAGTCTGATACCAGACAGCGAAGATTTGAATAATGACTAATAATTATTACCTAGAATATACTTCGTTGCGACTATATAAAAATATATTTCACTGTGTATTTACAGCCTGGTGAAAAGGTCATGATTCTTCCAACTGTGAAAGACGAAGAACTCCCTAAACTCTTCCCCAAAGGAGTGGACAAAGTATCAATGCCTTCTGGAAAGGTTTACGTCCGTACAACCACAAATTATTAAACGTATTCATTGATGAATGCGATGTATTTTCTTATATTTTTCATTCGTGTGAAATTATTTTTTAACAACCACTCTTTTGTTTATCATAAAACATTGTTTAAAAAGTAGGTTAAAAAGATAATTTTTAATCACGTTGTCTCGTAATGTACTTTGGAATTTTAAGTCAAATTTTTATCATCGCGATATGTTTATTGTTGTTTAAGTAAGAAGATAATTTTTGAACACAATTTTATCTCGTAATGTACTTTGGAATTTTAAATCAAATTTTCGTTATCACAATATAAACCGTGAGAGAATTTTTAGAACAATATTTATAGGAATTACAAATTTTGTTACTTATGTATCTTTTGTTACCTAACATTCCAGTGATTATAAATGAGCTATCACTTTTTATATCACTTAAGAACATATTAGAAAGTATAATACATTATTCTTGTTACTAAAGATAGTATTGTAATATATTTTCTATTTTTTACAGCAAATAATTTTTCCCTCGTTCTATCTCATTGAACTTTCTATTGAGATCATTTAATGGATAATTAATAAAAACATACATTTAACATAAAAATGATAGGAATGATTCGAAAGTCTTTAGAAAAGAATTAATAATGTCGATACAATTAGGAGAGAACGTATCTTTTGAATGAGAATGTAAAACTTACAATATTTTCTGGCAATTTGTGCCCAGGAAGATATTTCACGTTCTCATGTAACTGATTTATGATGTCAGTTAACTTTTGATTGTTCACTATTTCTTCGTAAACATACATTGTCACGCGTGTTTCAAATTTGTTGTTATATTTGACTGCATTGGCACCCACGATTTTTGCAATAGCTGAGCCCCTGAAGTATAAAATAAAAAGAATTACATAAGATAATCATTATGACGTCTAGTTAATCCTGTAATAGTTTTACATAAAATAAATGGTAAAACTGTCATTTATTTCTATATATATATATATATATATATATATATATATATTTCTATATATATTTAATAACACCATCGAGCTTTGAAATTGTATACAAACGCTGATGCAAATATCGATACAAAATAAAAGAAAAATTGTATACGATAAAAGTAAAAAAATGAACATAAAAAACAATAATTAAAGATACAATACAATTTGTTAAAATTGACATTACATTATGCTTTAAAAATACTTCGGTACAAAATTATATATAAAAAGAGAAACAAAAAAAGAAGAAAAAATTAACGCATACACATACCAATTGCCACTCCCTACAATGCATACCCTCTTTTTTAATACATTGCCAACTGTAGCCATTTTGCAGTTTTTAATGTACAACTGGCTTAAAATTTACAATTTCACGAGGGTATGGAATACTCTATGCACGTTGAAGTATCACAAATTTGCTTATTTTCAAACGCCGATGTTACGACTGACTGACTGACTGACCGATTAACTTACAAACTAACTTCAGCCTTCATTGACCTTAGTAACGATCGCAAATTATTTTCTAACGATTGGCATTCACTGTTTTGGACCAAGGCCAATGTAAACGCAACAGCAAACCGTGGCCAGAATAAATGTTAAAATTAGCGACAGCTTAATAATAATACTTAGTATATATCTCGAAGGTTTTTAATGTTACAAAGCAATTTTTTCAATTTTCAATTTTAGAAAGAAGCGGAAAATTTTAATAAAATTGCTGTCGGGCGTAATATCAAGATTAAATAGTGAAACAAGAATATTTTTATAATGTGACATTACTTTCAACAATATATAGAAATAAATATTAAGCATTTTGCAATACGATAATAAGAAAAAGAAAAAGATGAAACATCCATTACCAAAACTACCCCTTCTTATCGAGACATTAACAGATATGTATAAGTTTTACTGTCGGGTTGTATAAAATCATTATGACTATTGTTACAGTAAATATACCCCACGTTCATATGAAAATCTATGATATTTAAAAAGTTGGTTTTCAGTCGTTTGCGGTCGTATAACTCTCACTCATCGATATTTTATATGTTGTATTACGACTTTGTTAGTTATTACTTTTGTTCTTTAACACTTAATAAAGAATACTATAAAATAAAGTTAGCGAGATACATACAAATAAAAAGTAGCGACAGTCAATTTCATTTTGATTCTCTGGACATTTTCTTCGGTTATAGTATTATTAGTGTTCGATCAATGAAAATCAATTCCGACCAGCATGATATCCATATTTTAGTTAAATCCGACCGCAAACGGTTAAACGGAGATAACGTGTATCTTCTTTCGTGTCTTCCAAATACTCTTCACAGACGACATCTTGGTGAAGGTAGTTGCAGTATTGTTGCATTAACGTCGTCGTTCCTAGATATGAAGCAAATATAATTAAATCTTTTGCATACCTTCAATTATAGTGAACATTACTCTTGCATACAGCATGTTATTTTACACCCTTAAACATGCCTAATAGAAATTCGAATACGTGAGATATTGTATCTACCAACGATTACTGAAACGGTTCAAACGGGTGTTCAATAACATTTAATATTAGGGAAAAAATGTATGACATTACTAGATATATAGTCGGTATTAAAGGCTTTGGAAAGAGGGCGAATATAATTCTAACAAATGTTTATCAATTAACAAGTAATAGTCGTATATTTGTTACGTTTTATATTACACTGTTCAAGATAATTTCAGTTCTATGATACAGCAATAATGAACTATCGGAATCTAACGACACAAAATTGAGATATCTAAAATATTTATTTATAGACTCTTCTTAACTTCTAACATACAACAATCCTCGTAAAATTTTCATTAAAATATACAACAACGCATAACACATTACATTTTAACGTATTACCTACTACTTCGTTTCAGTAGTTTCTACTACTCTTTCGTAAAGTGACATTTTATTTTGCGTTTCGTATATTTTATACGCACTTAAGAAGATATCAGCTACGTGATTCAATGGTGCTGTTAAGGGTGTGTTGAAATTACTATTATACGCGCTATAGTTATTTTTAGAATGTTAATCTAATTCACAATTGGAAGTATAAATTAAGATATGAACTAAAAAAATATGGCAACACAGGAAACGAAGATAAATAACAATTTAAATTATGTCATCAATCAATTTCCTTGAGGAGTATTAATCAACATTAATACGTAGTAAAGTTTAGAAAAATCCATGGTCCTTAAATAGCTTTCCTTTCTACAGTTTGTTCTATCGTCTTTCTCCGATTTGATAAAGATTCTTATAGATTGCTTCTCAAGAAGATACAGCAGTTAAGAAGCTAAAAATAATCCTTTCGTAAATTTTTTCCAATATCAATGTTTCATTAGATGTGAGGAAGAGACTTCAAATTATCTGTAATCTGTATCGAAAAATGAAATTATCAATTAAATTTTTTGTTTAGATATGTATCACAAATAAATAACATTATTCGATATGTTTTCAAAAGTCATCATACTTTATGGATTTATAAACTTTTACATTCTCTTGAAAAGAAAAGTGAAATTTAGACATATTAATTACAACAGAATTAAATGTGAAATTCACATTCTACGCATATTCATTTGTAAAACATAAATTTTTTGCAGATCAAAATAAAAGAATTTCGCAACACTCCTATAGAGCGCAACAACAATAACAGATATTCATGCAAAATAAGGTAATGTTAGTTGTTGTACAGAGTGCTCCAAATTTTTCCAGTTAAAGTTTATTATATGTTTTATTGATATAATCATAGAAAAAATGTTATATAAACATAAGTGTTATATAATATCGTTTCTTCATTCATATCCATAGAACACATAATATTTCGACTAGAGAATCTGGAACACTTTATATAAATTTCTCTTTCATCAATAAATTATGATAAACCTAACATTAAAATGGCTTTGAGAAGATCTTTAAATGAATAAAACGTAGTGAAATACATTTTGAACTTTACATCTTACAATATATGTTATAGATAAAATATAAGATAAAATATTCATGTCATTTTTAAAATGTATGTAAAAAAATATATTATGTCTCTTTTACGAAACTATCAAGGCTCTTTTATACGTAATTGTACATAATGCTTTAGTTTCATTAACTAAAAAAAAAAAAATCATTTTACTTAACAAAGATTTATCGTGCATATAGCATTGAAAAAATTGTACATAAATCCTTTTTGTTTTGATGTACATAACAACTATTTACAAATATGTACACGTATTATATACAATATACATATTATCAGATTAATGTTAGGTATTTTTTTACAAATCTACCAATCGAAACATGTAACTACACAAGTAACTAGGACCATGGCTAAACAGAGCAATTGTCATAAGAAATATGTGGCAAAATATGAATTTTAAAATGAACTAAAACATAGATCCTATATCTTGTACAGGATGCTGAATTAAATTAAATATTACATATTTACATAATATTTCTCTCGTTGAATTTTTAAAATTTATGTGACAGTATATTAATGTGTTTTTAACTCCGAAAGTAAATTTTACAATATATGAAATAAAATATTTGTCATTTTATAACAATTTCTAAAACAAAGGTCAGATATTTAAACTAGTTCGCCATTAATTATAGTGGAGACAATTAAGCTTACATGTGCTCTGGATGATTGCGTATGTACTCAATTAGTTCCGTAGGCTTTATCTCACCGGTACAGATCCTATGTACAGCCGTGAAAAGGGGAAACCTGTTCTCCATATTTTGCGCTTTTAACATGTAATTCACCTCTTCAGCAGTAAACGGACCTTGTAATTTCTGCCCATTTAGCATTTCCTTCTCCAATTCTTCGATTGTCTGTAAAAAAAATGATACATAACACAATCTTTTATAAAATATACTATCAGAGTAATTGGTCGTTTAAATTCTAATGGGTCGGGAAGTCCGCACTGCAATTCTCGCGTAACAGCTAGTGATTTTGTTCCTGAAATACTTTCGAGGTCTGCTCTCGAACCGCTCGACAAAGAAAAGAATAGATTTAGAGCAAGTGAGAGAAACATAATACTTCTTACTTACTCTTGCCACATCTATTCATTGTCTTTGTCAATAGGTTACGTTGACCTCGAGATACTGAATACGTGCTGAGAATGTTGAGGGTGGATCATTAGAATTTAAGCAAAATGATTCTATTAGAGTTTCAATGAGAATTATTGTACGACCATTTTCAGTGTTATGGTTTGCAATATCAAGTTACATAATTTTATTATATCGTTTCGATTCGTATATTAATTAATATATGCAGATTAATAACTGACCTTGCCAGATTTTACAAAAGCTTCAGAAACTCTACGATTGCGACCACCATAACAGGTAGTAATAAGATCAGCAACACCACAACTTTCAAAGAAAGTAGAAAGTTTTCCACCAGGGAAAAAGACATCCACGAATTTGATCATTTCCATAAGACCTAATCTGATAACAGCAGCCTTTGTATTATCACCGAGACCTAAACCATCAACGAAACCAGCGCCGCAGGCTACTATGTTCTGTTAAAATTTGAAAATAGTAGATATTTAATAGTCACAAGCAATATCATGATAATTTACCTTTAATGCCCCGCAACATTCAACTGAATCAACATCTTCAACCACTACAACTCTAAAGTATGAGGTTTGTATTAAATCTCTTAGTATAGGAGCCATATTTTTATCCTTGCAACCTAGACATTAAATAGTTATAATTTAAGCCATATGACAACAATATGATATTTGTCTGATAAATATGCAATAAATATTTACCAATAGTAGTTTCACAAAACATTTCTTCAGCAACTTCAGAAGCCAAATTTGCCCCCATTAAAACGGAAACAGGAATGTGAAGTTGCTTATTAATTATGTGTGATATAAGTTCAATACCACCTCCCTCTTTTTTATCAAAGCCCTGTAAAATAGTAAATCACCTGTGATTTTATGTACAGGGTGGATTGAAGTTTAGATGAGCATATAAATATAAATTTATACATGAGATTTTTTGTTCAAAATATTGTTTGTTTCTGAAAAACTTACGTTTAAAATTTGATTTTAATGATAATATCAATCAATTTCAAGAAATATATTTTATTTATTATTTAACACTATTTAATTCTAAATTAAAATCATACCTTTATCAAAGAAAGGCCAACAGCTGAAGGCTTAATTTTCCCTAATAACGTAGCACATATTCTGTTGATAAATTGATGTGGTATTACAAAAATCAAGATATCTGCATCTTTAGCAGCTTCCACTACATCAGGAACTGCAACCTAGAATATGAAGAAAATTATATGTCATCTTTGTTATAAAAAATTCAATCACTTGTAATACTAAATTTATTTTATTAATATAAAAAATGTATTAATGTATTTTATTAATATAAAGACGTAAAAAGTATCAAATTATGCTACATCATTCTATTTACATTTAAAGAAATATATGTACTAGCGTTTGAATCAATATATAGCTTCAGCTGATTTCGTCACGGTCAAGGCCTTTCTATACAAAGTTACCGATGTTAACAATCTATTTGTATACGTACAATACATACAAATCAAGATCGTGCATTCTCCTGCACGTGTCTCCGAAATTAAATTAAAAATGTACGAATAACATTCAAATTTCAAAAAATTATCAAGAATAATTATACTAATAATAAATTTATTTATTAAAGAATCAATGAATGACAAAAACACAGTCTTTTTCTATATAAAGGGAAATGAGCATACATATAAAATACATGTGGTCTTACACGAGCTACGAGAGTTACGTAAGCTTAATTTAGTTTCAAAATTGTACATTTAACAGTAACTATAGTAGGGTTACACAACGTGTAACATGTATTTTCCGTTATACACGTGTTCATGCAGTGGAGTATATTGTAAAAATATGTGTGTACAGAAATGAATGCATAAAGAATAATTTATGGACTATTATAATATTCTATAAGGTAATATTATTATCATTAATAAAATATTTAATACATTAGAATTTGTTTGAAAGTTGAATAAACAATTTGATGTAAAATGGGATATTAATTTTATGTACACGTATAATTTTTTTTTATATCTTTATTGAATGATAGCTATAATTTCGCCTAAAATGATAAATGAAAAATATGACCTCGTATTGTTTGTAACAAGCAAAATTTTATTCTTAATATAAAAAATAATTCTTTTAGAATTACGAAAAACATGTATGTAAATACTCACCACATTAGGCGGGAGTGTATGTCCCGGAAGATACTTCACGTTTTCATGCGTTTCATTAATAATTTCAGTCAGTTTTTTTCCATTGATGATTTCTTCGTAAACATACATTGTAACGCGATCTTCAAAGTTATTAAGTTTAGCGGCATTTGCTCCAACTATCTTAGCAATAGCCGAACCCCTAAAATTATACATAGAATAAAATTATATAATAATTTATTTTACATAACATTTTCCTATATTTTTGGTTTAAAAATTCGCATATATTTCTGTTGGGCAACATTTTCACAATATTTTCTCAGTTCAATACGTATGAAAATATATTAAAAATTCATTAGCAGAACAGTTTTACATTTAAGCATAAAATTGACTTCGCAAATATATGACTAATTGCTATTCCATTGATAGGTACTGTTGCTACTGTCATATTATTATGATTAATGCAGCATTTTTAAATACATTCATTGCAAAGAAATGTTATGCAAATGGCAATAAACTAATCCAGTTAGAATCTGCCAAATTTGACAATTCAGTTTTCTAAAAATACATCTGCCAATATACCCAAAATATAATGCCAAATATTGAGTAAAGTGTTAACAATAAAAATATATTTAATTTAACAAGCCTACGATAATTCTTGATTTTTATATATAGCACGTGGAGATCAATTCTGCTGGCATTTAAAACCGATCAGCTAAATCAATGATAGACGAAATTTTTCGCAACTACAGATGTTAAATCTTACGTAGATTCAAAAATAACTTACCAATTTCCTGATCCGACGATACAAACACGTTGTTTGTCTGCCATGATTTTGAATGGTATACCAATAACGAAATTATACAATTATACAGAACAAAAATGATCGCAAAGTAAGACACGATAGCCGTTCACCATCAAAGCAGGGGATGACTGGAACTACTTCGAATGTGGAAAGACTTGCGCTATTTTTCGCAGAAGTGGGAGTATGGAAACACTGGCGGTGATAGGCGGTCTGTTTCTACTGTGCGAGCAAGGTTCCGTTGGTCGACCAATCAAAGTTCAATATGATAAAAACTATATAAATACCATCTTTGGACTTTATCTTGTGGAGATTATGTAATTGTGTCGGCGCAATCATACTTATCAAAAAAAAAAAAAAAAAAAAATGATAAGGAATATTAATTATCAGGTAAATTTCAACTAATCTAAGATATACGAGCTATAAGATTGACTTTTAATTGTATTTTAATCATGTATATAAAATAGAAAATGATATATTATACTTAATCACATTCTACGTTATCATATAAATATAATATAATTCATAGTTGTATTATTCAAGTAAAATAAATATATACCAAACAATAGTAAAAATATTAATAAATAAATTTTATAAATATAAGCGCTGTAATAAAAGTAAATTTTATAAGTATAAAACTGTAATTCGAGTGATTTTGTAAAGAATGTATAATCTAGTTATTAATTATTTCGTATATGATTTTTTTTACCTTAAATATGTATTTTAATAATTTGAGGGATTTTCTGTTTTAATAATTTAAATAGTTGATTATAGTAAATCCTGTAAAATAAATTTTAACATATAAGTTTTACTGAAAAATGAATTTGATATGTGAATTTTTACTTGTACTTACTAGAAAGATAGATAATCGTCGAATAACATAGTACTTGCATTACATAAAAATCTGTATAACACGATTAAAATTACGACGATCCTCGTTCAGCATATTGCTTTAGTTAAAGATGATCTAATGGAATTAATCAATAGTCCTATGTAAAACATAATAAACGATGACTCGGAAAATATTCCCGTGAAGAATTCTCTTCAAATTTTTCCATTGACCAATAAGAAAAAAGATTTTGATTTAATTTAACAATGAAATTGAAGCTTCTTTTTCTGAAAGAGAAAGACACGTTGAATCGAAATTACATTAATGAAAGATGATAAACTAAAATTGTAGATTATGTCAATGAAAAATTAATCTGATATTTATAATATAAAAAATTTGTTGATAGTAGAAATTGCGTGGAGACACATGTAGATACGTTGGTTACGTTGCACAATATATGTTATATATCATGCATGTCATGAAGTATTGAAACTCTTACTTCAATAAATAACAGATAAAACTTTTATATTGTTCATATTTTATTATGTAACAGATAGGAATGCAATGGTAAAATAATGTAACAGTTTATAACATATATGTGTGTAATTATAATAATAGTTAAATACACGACATGGATATAATTGTATAGTTATTTTTCCTACTTCAGATCAAATTATAACTTACACATTTTATATTCTTGTGAATTCTGCAAGTGTCGTCTAATGAAAGTTTTTTTAAATAATTTCAAATAATATTTTAAACAATATTTAATTGTATGATGAAGAAATATAATTAAATGTAAACTTGATTATTACTGCGTATTGTAGAAATAATATTTTAAATAAATTTTGAAACGTTTTTACTTTTGAAGATATAGTTATTTCTATTGCATAAACAAGAACAAGACTTCATTTAAAAATATTAATTTATCATAATTTCATAGATTTTAGAGAAACTTTATTTGTATTTGCGACGACTTTTATATTTCCTATATTTATGGAAAGCAAGAAATTCACTGATAATATATGCAATAAGTAAAATTTGTATTATACAACAATATACTTTAATCTTCTGTAGTGGATTGTGCCGCATCCAAAATAATTTCAAATGAAAATGGTTGGAAACCATATCCAAGTCCAGCATAAAATTTGCTTTGAAATTCGACCCTGTCAAAAAACAATAAACTTAGAAAACTATACAGTCTATTGAAAAAGATAGTTTGCATTCTACATTATTTACAGATATAAAATATTATACAAGAGAGTCCTTGAATGTAACAATTGTTTCAACGTACCAATGAAGTCGGAGTGTATGTAAGAAAGCGGATAAACCTTCCATAAGGACTAGAATACCAACAGTTAGAGTGGCCCAGAATGCAAACACAGCCCACAGAATAATACCTCCCGCCCAACCTTCTTGAGTTAACCCACTTCTCATTACCATGTTCCACAATACTTCCGATAATTCTACATACAATCATTAACAATAGATGTTTAATAAAACGTAATATGTGTTATAAATTGTAAAACATACATGTCTATAATTTTAAACTTACGTGCATGAGCAAGAGATAAAGCCCATAAACGAAGATAAGACGCAGTGTGAGAAACACTACCAAGAACATACTCAATAGTATGAATGCCTTGATGAATAAATACTTCACTCATATCCTCCTCTTCTTCTTTGTGACCTCCTTGAGGAATTCCACTTGCTGGTTGTATAGCATCAACACCACCTTCTACATCTCCATTTTCTGTACCATGGTTGTTTAACTAATGATATGTAAAAAAGAAAGATAAAAAATTTAGACGTTTATTCATAAGAATTAGAAAAAAAGAATTTAAAACATTTAATAATGAATTCGAAATTTAACCTGATAATGTTGCTTCTTTCTATTGTACATCATTGAAACAGGTTTTCCAAATAACATCCATGGAATGCAAAGGACGGCTATGACAACAAGAAGCGATTGGAATCCATTTTGTCCAGCATACATCCAGGGACTACATACTTTTTCGACTACTGGCTCTTTCGACTCAGTTTCAGATTTGAATAATACCATATTAATAAATGTAATTAATACTGATGGTGCGCAGAAAGGTCCATGGGCTGGGTCTGTGCCTAAAAATAATAATAAGTATCATAGTATAGCATATTATAATACATTTTTAAAATAAATATATTATATACTTACCATCGCTATCAGGGCCATATTTAATCCATTTAATGAACATAAGTAGAACCAAATACAGGAAAAGAAACACAAGGAAAATAATTTGAGGAATAAATTCATAAATTATGTTCGGTCTCCTTCTGAAATACATATGATTCCATAGTCCAATTATTACACCAAATAACATGTGTATGACCCCAAAAATGATAGATATTTTCATTTTATACGAGTTCAAGAAAATGATTTTGTTCTCAGCTAATTGCCACACAGGATCCATTCCTAGTGGATATGGAATCTGTAGATACATGTCTTTATCACTAGGATCTAATTGCAAGTCTTTGTTCGTGTTTATCGTTGAGAAATTGTAACTGATTCTCCAATATGATCCAAAGACGTTCAACGATTTGGAAAATATATCGTTGTATATAAGTCCGGTATACATTGAAAATAAGCCCATCAGAAAAATAATATACCGACCACCAAAGAAGATATTCCAAATTTCATTGTCAGATTTCTTTGCAGCCAATGGTTTTTCTTTTAATACCATCCACCCACCAAAGAGGAACATAAGTAAGCCGTGGCCAGTATCACCAAACATAACAGCAAATAAGAATGGGAACGTTATGATAGTATAAGGAGATGGATTCATTTCTCTGTAAGAAGCAACGCCGTATGCATCTATCAGAGCTTGAAAACCTTTGGTGAACTTATTGGTACGATTGTACGTAGGCGGATCTTCAAACGTTGCCATACGATTCAAAATCGGTGGCACAGAGCTTCCACTGCGTTCCTAAAATATGAAATGTTCGTTACTATGAAATGTTCAATTAAACGTGACCAGATAGTGATATTCAACAGATGTAGAAATAATTACAGTTCCACGACGCAATGCCAGTTGAATTGTTTCAATGTCTAATACGGGAACCCAACATTCAGCGATTAAACACTTTTGCGTAACATCCAAATTAAATAGATTTAAGGTATGATAAATTGCCTTGATTTTGCGAACTTTCACAAACCAATTCTTGATATTCTTTGCAGCGGCTACTAGAACACGATGTCGATGATCCTGCGTTTGTCCAAGGACCTGTGCCAGATTACGGTAAATAAATTGAATTACGTTTTATCCTAAAACAAAGAAAGAAGGAAGTTTTTCTCGTAAAAGGAGAGAGCAACTGACTGTGTTTAAATCTTCAATTCGAGTCATAACTCCCATAGCCATCTCGCGACGATCAGCTGGTGCTTCGGGGCAAGGGTACAAAGTGGCTCTAAATCCCTCGCAGATCTTTTTAACTCGAGTTTTCAATTGATCACCTTGGAAGAATATGATGAACACAGACTTAAAGACTTGATCCCCCTAAAAAAAAAAAACTAATTATATATTTTTTATCACACATTTTCTCGCACGTTCAAAGAAATGGAGAGAGAGAGAGATGATCGATTTCGTAAGAGCTTGTTGAAAATTACCGTTGAAGGATCTTCCAGAGGAGATTCGATCTCTGCTTGACGAAGAAATACATTACCACGGCATGCTCGCCAAAGCATACGTTCAAAGGCTGGAATACGTTCTCGTAGAATAACTCCTGCGACGAAACTATTTAAGGAATAATTTTAGTAAGACAGATGTGACCACCGAGGAAATCGCAATTAAATGAAAATAAAGACATGACACCATTAATTATACATATACACGTATGTTTGGGCGTACGTATAAATATTTCACTTAAATCACTTTAGATTCAACGCGGTAATTACAACGTACTATCAACGATCTATGTCGAAAATCGTTCGTATATGTATATATCGTATGCCGCCATACGTTGCGGAAATTATAGGAGTTTTCAAGGTTAATGCTACATTTTATATATACTTTCAACCTGTATCGTTTATATCTTTACGTTTTTATTTTATTTTATTTTTTTTTTTTTTATTAGAGATAGATTCTTCATTCTTTCCTTATATTCACTTAACTTTATTATCGTCGAAGAATGATGATTTTTGCAGCCATGGTTCTTTCCAATTATAAACGTTGCTCGATTGTGATATATATAAATATAAATATTATAACGTTCGTGTACAATAAGATTCAACAAACGCATTGTATATTGTGTTAATGAGAATAAAAATGACGATGATAGCGATAATAATGATGTCATTATGATGGAAGGATAATGATGGGAATAACGATCGTAATAAAAATGACAGCAACAACAATAGTAGCATATGTTCAATGAAAATGTTCTAAACGAGTGATTCGTGATCTTCATGATCTAGTGTTGTGTGTGTTTAAGATTTGAAGATAAAGAAATTTGGTGTGCCCAAATGACAAGTGAAAATCACAAATGATATTTGAAAAAAAAAAGGAAAAAAAAAAAAGAATATATGTGTAGCTGTGATTTTTAACAAGCATAATTTATTCGTATTGAATTAGCTTCAGATTTGCGTATTAAATTTTAATATGATTAGGTGTGTGTGTGTGTGTGTGTGTATATCGTCAACATAAAACAACATGCATCTAATTGAAATTGATAGAATTGTTTAACCAGATTATGGAAGTACATTTACACGAAAAAAAAAAAAAAAAAATTGGATGAAAATTTATCACAGTAAAGAAAGTTACTTCATCTTGAGTAGAAAATAGAGCACAATACAACGTAAAATATCTCGCATGCAAAAGCTATTTTTTTTTTTTTTTAAGTAATGTGTATCGTATGAAAGAAAAAAACAGTGAAGTCTCATGTATCAAGCTCTGTGATGAATTTTCTTTTTTTTTTGAACTCGTAGATAGCATGTAATTTCTCATTCTCGAATTTAAAAAAAAGATTATTCGATCTGTTGAAACAATCGTGAAGGCTAAAAAACACATAACACACGCATGGTACACCTGTAAGTGAATGTTCGATGAAAAGAGAATGAAATTATCATAGAATATAGGTATTGTCAAAAGCTTATAAAATTGTCGCTTAACAAATCTTACAATTCTTTCAGAAACTGGAAGTCTGAGCATAATCATCACTTTTACGCATTATGACCAAATTTAGATACGGGAAGGATTTACTAGTGATGGAGTACGTACCCCAGTTGGACAGGACCAAGGGCAGTCTGGCGGGCGATATTATCATCACTAATCAATGCACGTGTCATGGACTCGGTAGGATTCAAGCCTGCGTGCTCTTGCTGACGACACAACAGACAAGACACAACCACATTAGCACACTAGACATCACTATAATGCTCCAACGCCATATTGTTGTTGCGTAAGTTCCATACGTATTTTACACACGCAGGAATTTGACTGAAGATATCTCTAACGATTCGTATTTCAAGGAGTTTACTGGTTCTAAATTGTCGAAAGTAAAGGTATCTTTTTTTTTTTTTTTTTTAATAAACGGAGTAAAGTAACTGTCGAAGAGTGTAACGACCTCTCAATTTTTTTTTTTTTTTTTTTTGGCTGATCTTATATTAGTGGACACCAGTAAATTGCGAAATACGTAGTGGTTTCTTCTCCGCGTAAGAGTAAGTATGTATTTTCAAGATCGCAAAGATATCTTAAATCGGTCATATTTCTTTTCTTTTCAACTAAATATGGAATTACTATACAGTGTTACATTGTATATTGAAGCTGTTAATGTTCGATTATGCTAAATATCAATTATTAATTTGCCATCAATACAGAATGACCTCGTTAATTCAACGCACTCGTATCAAATCGCGAGACTTGCGATGACAGAGACTTTAAATAAATAGGGGAAAGCAAATATTTCAGACAACAGTGCACGTGAATGGACTAGACAACAGCATAATAGACGATAGACAATAACGTGATACATATCATTTGATAATAAATATTATTTCGTTGTTTGTATGTATCAGTATGTACATTTAGTGCTTCAGAACTAACAATAACTCGAATTAATTAGTATATCACGAGATAATTACGGGATGCAGCCACGATGATCCATGATCTATAATTCATTATTTTTAAAATTTGTATAATATTAAAAAAATAATATTTTAATTAATTAATTATTCAGGGATCAACAAGTTACAATTCCAAGCTGTAATCACTGATTTTGATGAAAGTTTTTGTGATGGTCTTCCAATGAAGATTATACTGCAGGTTTAAGAAGAGATTATAATGTCATAATGAATTGTGAGTATAATTTTTATCGAAAAACCATTCTACATCTAACTTCCATAAAAATCAGTAATTGTTACTTTGGAATGATATTCTGTTAAAAATATTATACGAAATATACGTATAATGTTCTATACGGTTGATTTAGCTTCGCAAAGTTGGTTCAATATTGAATTAACCAGGTCGTAGGACGAATATATGAAAAAAGAGAAAAGAAAAAAGGGAGAAAAAACAACCAAAAAAAAAAAAAAAAAAAAAAAAAAAGAAAAAAGAAAAAAAGAAAAAAAAAGGAGAAAAACGGGAAAAAAGGATGCTTACAAAATCGTGTCAAACGAATTTTCCAATAAATGTAACTGCAGTTCAATTTGCGCCGCGCGTCATACAAAGGGCAGAATTGCTGAGCGACGCGCGAAACGAGAGAGACTCGCCACGCGACCAAATCTCGGGTCTCTGCGTTCGTTCGTCGATCATCGTTTGGTGTTTTGCGATTGGAATTGCGTTTATTCCGACCTTTCTGTACCAGTGGAGGAGCTGGAATGCCTGGCCACCTGGAAGGAGGGCAGCAGCCGTTACCTGGTCGGCCGTTTACATCACGGACACGCGTCCAGTAACGAAGATCGATACCGATGCTTCGTCTACGAGAAGGCCGGCCAGACAGTGCAGAGTAATCTGCACAGAGCTGCCATGGGCATAGGAGCCATGGATCACGATGTCGGTATACAGAGCGGGCCGGTGCCCGAGGGTGCGGCCGAGATATACCGGGTGGCACAGAGCGGCGATGCTACTTGCAACGGGCTGTTCAGCCCTATGGAAGGATCTCGAACCATGACGCTCATGAAAGGTACGTGAAAGGTTCTCTGAATACCATTGATTTTCGAAGACTGTCTCTGAATGAATTTAACTGTAGTTTTCTCCGACATATTTGTCAAATTGTTGCAGATACGATGTTCAATGTTCCTTAATGTTAATACAGATGAAACAGTATGTAACAGCATTCGACTCTCGACTCGCCAGATTTCATACAACTTGACGGCTGCGAATTGAACTCTTCAGCTCGTCGTTGTTGATCATTTCTCGTGTTTATATGCCCTAATAGAAATCCATGGACGTCCAAGAATCTTTTTTTACTTTCGTCGGAACGAAATTTCAAAAATCTCGAGTTCATTTCGACGCGTTCAATCTTCGCTCGCGCTGTGTCTGACAAAGTTCGATCTTCCTTCTGTCACTATGATTTAAGTAGTCATAGTCAATCTTTAAATCTGTACGCAGTAATCTGACATAAAGGAGGGAAGCGCTCGTCGTAGATCACGTGCGTAAATCACACTTTCAGGGAAAAGTATACACACAATTGTCCAGTTTACAATTATCCAAAGTTCAACAATTAGGTTAAACATTAGGTACAGCGCGATACTCGAGAAAGCTCGGGAGAAAAGGAGAAATGAGTCGTGTATTATCAACGGAATCACGGCCTGAAAAATTCAGTGTTCTCGCAGTGTCATTAACGGGAGGTGACAAAATGGCGAGTTCGTAGCGCGAATATTTACACGCTACTCCACTTCTCCCGGTTGCACGGTGCTTCCTTCTTTTCCCCGGCCGTGCGCGAGCCTCCTCCTTTCTTTCTTCTTCTCCCTTTCAACGTTTCGTCGGCGTTTCCACGCGTTCTTCCTCGAGGGAGTTTGCCAGCCCGTATCCTGCCGCGTACAGTTTCACGGCAAACTTCGTTAACGGATTTCGCTCGAGTAGATTTGCAGGATCTCCCGTTTTAAGCGGCGCCCCGCGCCACTTTCTTTGCCGAATCGCTTTAAACACGAGGGAAAGTCGCCCGACACGCGGATAAAACCGTCGTCTTCGGTCGAGAAAGTAGAGAAAGAGAGAGAGAGAGAGTGAGCAGCAGTGGTCGAGGCAAGCGTGATTGTTCGCGTCTAGCTGCGTGGTTGTAAGCACCAGCTCTGGTCGTTAATATCTCGATCCTTCTTGTAGAAACGACGCACGGTGCCGACGAAATAAGAAGAGAACAACGCCGAGAACCAGCCCGGAAAATGGATTAACATTAAATCTTTTCCTCTCTTTCTTCAGCTTGCTTTTCCTCGCGGCCATTCTCTCCCTCTTCTCCCGTTTCTTTCCCCCGGTCTCGACCTGTTTCTCTTCTTATTTCAGCTTCTCTCTCTCTCTCTCTCTCTCTCTCTCTCTCTTTTCTATCCGCGCCGTTGAACCTTTAACTGCACCCACAGGCCGGCTCGAAAGTTTGTTCAATTAGCCTGGACTCTTCCACCGCAGAGTCAATATCCCGGGAAAATTACTCGACTGCGTTTTCATAACTGCTCGGAAACGTGCGGTTTAACCGGCGAAAGGGAACTCGGCCGAGGCCGTGGATCCAGCCCTGAGACAGGGAGAGACGTCTTGAAACGCGCGGGAGAAGAACCCGTGTTCCGTGCTCCCTGTGCCGTGAGACCCTT